TCCTGCTTCTTTGGATTGGAGGGCTAAAGGTGTTGTCACGGAGATGAAAGATCAAGGCGAATATTGTGGAGCATGTTGGGCACTCCCAACAACAGGTGCGATTGAAGGTATAAATTAGATTGTCACGGGATATCTTATCAGCATGTCTGTACAAGAGTTGATCGACTGTGACAGAACCTATAATAGGGGCTGCTCTGATGGGGATCCGACTTATGCATATGATTATGTGCTTCAAAATAAGGGTATCAGGATAGAACATGATTACCCCTATCAAGCTCGAGATAATATATGCGACACCTTGAGATCGCCGAGATCGCCTGCAGTGACCATTGATGGGTATATGGTTGTACCCGCAGGTAATGAGGAGGAACTACTAAAAGCAGTCGCCTCTCAGCCTGTCAGCGTTGGTGTATGTGGTTCAAGCCCTGCGTTTTATGAGTATACCAGGGGATATTCAACGAGTCGTGTTCAAAAAAAATAGATCATGTCGTATTGATCGTGGGGTACGGTTCTCAGAATGGCATTTGACTATTGGATCATAAAGAACTCGTGGGGAACTGAATGGGGAATCAATGGTTTTATGTACATGCGACGCAACACTGGCACTCGGGGAGGGTTGTGTGCGATCAACCTGGATGTTTCGTACCCAATTAAGAGCCCTCCTTTGCGCTTTGAGAGGTATAGGCGTTTGCTTGGATGGTAAACAGTATTGAACGAACATGCACAGAAGATGTAAATGCGTATGGTTGGGTTAATGATTCTATTTTTTGAAAATCCAATCATCTAATCAGATACACTCTCCATTAGAACAAAAAAACAATCAAAATCATGAAATGCTTATTTTATGATGCAGAAGTAAGTAGACAAATTTTGTAATTTTCTTTCAACAATATACATGGAAAGTAAGTCGTTGCTATTCGTCTTGCATTTCAGAATTGTTACTTTTTTATTATTCATTTATCTTAGTTGAAAAAAAAAATTAATTGCATAAAATTTCGAGCCCTTTTGTTATTGCCTTAAGCGTTTCATGTACTTGATAGATGCAGCTGATGGCCTCAACTACTTTGTCTTTATTGCTTACATGGTTATGCAAATCATTGTTCAAAGCTAAATGTGAGTGAACAGAGCTTCCTTTTCTTTTATGTTATTTATCACTTTCTGCTTATACTTGCAGGCTTCTTTGTTGACTGAATCCATTGTCTACAATGAATCAAAACACAAAAATGGTCAGAAAAAAAAACACTAATGAAAAAAACCAAAGAAGTGATTGTAGGTAAATAATAATAATAAAAAGAACAAGGAATACAAACATACATCATCAATTATTGGAAGTTCGCCTTTTAGTATGTAGATAGACGGTCAAGGAAAACATTCAAGTCTAGAACCCATGACCATAGTCTCTTTCGGGTAATGCAGAGATTTGAACCCATGACCTTTGACATGGCTCTGATACCAAATTACATTTGGAATGGCTTTGATACCAAATTATCTTTGGCATGGCTCTGATACCAAATTACATTTGGCATGATTCTGATACCAAATTACCTTTGCCATGGCTCTGATACCAAATTACATTTGGCATGGTCTTCTAATTTCTCCAAAAAATGCTTCTTTTGTTCTTAATTTTAATTGATTTTAATTGGAAGAGATCATTAAGGCTGCAAAAGCATCCAATGCTCACAATTTTATCTCCTCACTGCCTCACGGCTACGATACTCCGGTGGGAGAGAGGGGGACACAACTATCCGGTGGTCAAAAGCAACGGATAGCCATCGCTAGGGCGATACTTAAAGACCCAAGAATTCTTTTGTTGGACGAGGCTACAAGCACGCTAGACACACAGTCAGAGCACATAGTGCAAGAGGTATTGGAGCGTGTGATGGTGAACCGGACCACTGTCGTTGTGGTTCACCGTTTAGCAACAATTAGGGATGGCAACGGGGCGGGGCGGGGGCGGGGGCGTGGAATGAGGTCCCCGTCCCCGTCCCCGAAATAGATCCCCATTCCCCGTCCTCACCCTGTTCCCCGGCGGGGATGGGAAATTATTTCCCATCTCCGCCCCCGCGGGAATTTTTCGAGGACGGAGAATCCCCGCCCCGTTTTTTAATGATGCAATGAAAAAAAAAAAAAAAACAAGAAATAATTTACCGGCAATTCAACAACAATAATAAGTAATTAATAAGTTAATCAAAACAAATTAAAACTAAATGATGTGAACATTTTTCACGCATCCATCAAGTATCAAATTACAGTATAGAGTTTAGATATTGTTCCACTGGAGATGGCTCTTGTAATGTTAGGAATTGATGCAAAGTGGAGTTAAGCACAAGCTAAAACTATCCTTATAGAAGCTAGACAAATCCTTAATGAGTTGGTTTGATAAGATTAGGCTAAAAACAAATAAGACAAGTAAAACAAAGGACCGGGACTTAGTTGATTCGAGCTAAGATGTCAAATATTGTACTAAAGATTAGAGAATTAAATCAAGGCATAGGGTAAGTGAGAAGCACAAAAGTGTCCAAATACCACTCTCGTAGCTATTTGGACTTGCAACCTCACATTGAACTCCACTCTCGTGACAATTCAACCCAAGGATGCCCAAACAAGAACACAAGGCAAAAATTCCCCTTAACACCCAAAATACTCTCGTATTGGGTGTTAAGTGTGTGAATGTGTGGCTAGTGTACAAGCTCTACTCTCGTAGCAACAAACACACTCCAAATCAAGCATATAATTGGGATCCAACAATCATACACAAATTTATCAACAAACCCATTTCACACAACAACCCTAGATCACCCAAATAATTCCCTTTATGCAATACAACTCAAATAGGCATCAATAGCAAGAAAAAAAAACCAAATCCTAGTCCCAAAACACTTAGCTACTCATAATATAACAATAGATACACAATATTAAAGGAGTAATTGAAAGCATAGATGAAAAGTAAAGAGAAGAGATAATAAGAAAACTTCTCTATTGAAGCTTTGAAATCCAAGATTGCAATGTGTTCTTGAGCTTGGAAATGGAAAGGAACAAGAAATCTACACTAATCTAAGCTATACTAGAGCTAAACCTAACTAAGAAATGAAAAGGAAATGAAAGATGTAATGAAAGATATGTTGGGGTGGAAAAATCCCCTAAAAAGGGTCAAAAACGCGCTGTCAAAAAGTGCAGAGGGCTAGCCACGGGTGTGGCCACACCCGTGGCCAGAAAGGCCGTGTGTACTGCCCAGTGGCCACACCCTGGCCACGGCCGTGGCCATACCCGTGGCCACCAGGCAGTGATTTTTCTGTGCACTGCGACTGTCTTCTAGGTACTTTTTCACCCTCTAAATGTTTGAATTAGCCTTTGATGCTTGAATCAAAGTTGTAGCCCTTCAAGTTAGCTTTCCAATGATATAAAATTCACTTGGTTTGGACATTCCTACGCAGAGATATGATCAAAAAACCTAGCAGTGGACGATTTGTGCGGGAATTTCAACTTCTTGCTCTTTTGCTCCACTTTTGCCTTTGTTTGTCCAAATGACCAAGACCAATAAACACACCTTAATTTGGCTCTCTAAAAGGTGTTTCTCCATCTTCATAGCTTCTCATTGACTCCCATTGGCTCTACAAGCATCCAAAATGACCCAAAAATCACTCAATTCATCTAAATCATCAAGAATTACACATAAACATACAAATGAATCAAATGAGGATACTTTGGACAAAAATATAACAAATAACAAGGAAAATAGGCTTAAATGTAAGGTGAAATTATAAACTTTTAGACTCTTATCACTAAACTAATTAACTAATAACTTAATCAAAAGTACTGAACTGAAATAGCTAATAAGTTAATAAAAACTAATAGACTAAGTAAGTTCATTAATATTATATATATTATAATATTTTGTTTTACTGGACTAATTAAGTTTATTAATATTATATATATTATAATATTTTATTTTTATTATAGAGACAGTCGGCACAAGCAGGCAGCACTACTGTGAATGTTCATGAATGTTTTGTTTTTAAGTTTATTAATAATATATATATATATATATATATATATATATATATATATATATATATATATATATATATATAATATTTATTTATTTATTTAATATTATACGGGGAATCGGGGACGGGGACGGGGACGGGGCGGGGGATGCCTTCCCCGTCCCCGTCCCCGGCGGGGATGGGGGAATTCTCCCCATCCCCGCCCCCGTTCCCAGAAAAAAATTCTCGAACCCGCCCCCGTTGGGGGCGGGTTGAATTGTCATCCCTAGCAACAATTAAAGGGGCTGACCTGATTGCTGTGGTGAAAAATGGAGTCATTGCAGAGAAGGGGACACACGAGACGCTTTTGAAAATCTTAGATCAAAATGATGAGGTATATAATTCATATTCGTAAAATACATAATTTTATAACGCAAGAAACAAAAAAAAAAAAACGCAACACAAGACACATACACATGTTATGTATTTACTTATTTTTTAAAATTTGTGTTAAGTATAAAATTTGTGTTCATAAACACAATATATAGAAATTCATAACATAATACACAAGTACTAATTTGTTAATTTATTTCAGATACAGAATTCATACTTGGTACAGAATTTTATAACACAAGACATAAAAACATACAACATAAAACACATACATATGCACCAAGATCCACATTGCACTATAAACTCTGGATCATGGTATAAGGATTGGAGTAATGGGGTTTGCACGGACTTAACTCAATAATTTAGTAGACATTATTTGATAAAAATGACTAATATTCAAACTTAAACTGTAACAATTTGAAAATTATGTTTAAAGTAGGCAGATCACTTGTATGTATGTATCAGGTTTTTGGGATTGGAGTTAACCTTTTGGTAGAAGAAGGATTGGAGTAATGGGAGGGGGAAAAAAAAAAAGAAAGGAAAAGTGGATCTGGAAAAAAATGCAGGCGAGGAAAAAGATTGGAAAGCAACGTACGGTGCCCCGAGTCCCCGACCCATTCGCGGAAACACGGAGCCGCTATCACCAAACACTTCGGAACACTCTCCCACGCACTTCTCCATGCGTTCTCCCACGTACTCTTCTTCAACATCTCTCATCTCTCCCTCCATAACCCTAACCATGCTAAATTTTTAACCCTAGTTAAATCCCTCACCTCTTCAGTCCTCACTCCATCTATAAATCACCCTACCTTCCTTCTCTTCCGTATCCATTATTACCATCTATCTATCTGTAAATTCTAAATCTATCGTTTCTTGCTTCTCAAGCAACTTATTATTGTTTCTTTTTAGATAGATTAACATTGAGGGCGGCGATCGAGCTGATTAAGCTGGGCGGTGATTGTTAGTTATTAGATGCGGCGATGAGTTGCAACGGCTGCCGGATTCTCCGAAAGGGTTGCAATGAGAATTGCATACTGAGAGAAAGCCTCCAGGGCATTATAACTCCTCAAGCTCAAGCTAATGCGACTCTCTTCGTCGCTAAATTCTTCGGCCGTGCCGGGCTGATGTCGTTCCTCTCCTCCGTCCCCGCCTCCCAGAGACCAGGTATTTATTTGCTTAATTATCCACCCCTCAATTTATAGATTAATGTGTCTTATTATAGTTTGTGTGTATATATATATATGCAGCGTTGTTCCAATCGCTGCTATTTGAAGCTTGTGGACGGACGGTGAACCCGGTGCACGGAGCGGTGGGACTGCTGTGGACAGGGAACTGGCACCTGTGCCAGACGGCGGTGGAGACGGTGTTGCGAGGCGGAGTATTGCACGCGCCGCCGTCGGATGAGTCGGCGGCATCGGAGGAGGAGGAGACCGACGATACGAAATTGTTCCATCCGCAAGAAGCGAGTGTAAGAGCGGTGATTGACGATCTAGATCTGGGGCTTAGGACAGGGATGCCGCCGGCGAGGATGTCCAGTGAAGGGAAAGTAAACCGGCAAACGGCGAGGAGGAGTCGGAGGAGCGGAACGCCGTCGGGGGAGTCGGAAATCACCACTTCAGAGAGCAGTTATGCGTACCAGCAGCAAGGAAACGACGTTAAGCTTCTCAGACTCTTCCTCTGAAACACTACGGAGTATAAAATATATAGCTATGAAATTTTGTGGTTTTTTTTTCGACTTTTATTCTTATTTTAAAATATAATTAAACCTTAGAAAATCAACTCCGAAGTTGATATTTTTGATAATTTTTGGAGATTAAAAAAAAAAAAAAAAAAAAAAGGGTGATCCTACGGTACTATGTTGAGGGACGGAGTACGAATTGTACGTCCTAATGTTATTTTGCTAAGGAGTAATAAATTTATACGTTGTATTGATCATGATTTTGTATAAATTATTATTTTGGAAAGACGTTATTGCCCCTGTAGGCTGGTTGCGGGCCAAAGAATTTTTGGGTTGAAAGATAATGCACTTTTAGTTGTTGAAGAATGAATAAATTAGAGTCCACACGGATTTAGCACAATAATTTAATAAATAGTATTTAAAAGAAAAAAATCAAAGTCTGAACTTTGGCAACAGCAGTGTCACCGCGAATGAATAAATTGGAAATGTATATGGATGCGATAGCAAGGAATGGAAGATGGTGTAAATAAATGATCGAAAAATTCCAATTGTTTTGATGGAGCGTAAAGTGTTATAGATTCCTCAGGTCTGAGACTACACATACTGCATCTCACATCACACAAGCAAGCATGTGGAGAAAAAAAGATTTAATTCATTGGAGTAAAAGATATTTTTGGTGGCCGGCTATTGAGTCGTTAAAAGAGACCAAAAGCAAAACGGATCGGAGGTCCCACTTGTACTTGAGCATTCACTTCACCTGCCCTATAATCCTATTCTCTACTCATTTTTTTTCCTTTTCTTTTTAATACTAGTTACTTTGTTACAGTGTAATATCTGTTCATAACTATTTTTTCAACTTATTAAAGTACAAATAGTTAATACCGCTTCCAATGTGACTCAAACTTATGACCTCGCATTTAAGAGAATCATTTTATGTCACTAGACCACAAAGTCATTAACATCCTATTCTCTACTTTAATTTACTGGAAAATCTATACTTAAATGTATGCTCAAACCTCTTATTGGCTACTTACAACTAATAAAATAATATAATATTTTTAATATTATTTTTACTTGTTTTAATATTTATCATTTTACTCGTCATGTTTACTATTCATTAGTCAAACCAACTATTTCTGCTTATTTTCTTTAATAATTTTTAATTACTTTTAAATTATTTTTTTTTTTTGCGTTTAATAGTACTTTTTAATGTAGTTTCAAAATATATAAACTTTGTACGCTAATACTAAATTCAATATTATAAAAAATTAAATTAAAATAACTTCAACCAAGTCTCGTTAATTGAATTAGACAAATAAAATGGGAAGTAGGAAGTATTTATTAATTGGACAAAATATATTTCATTTTTTAAACTAAATTTTGTTAATTTAAGTTATTTAACTATAGATATTTCTTTTTAAAAAAAAACTATAGATATAAGAGACACGATGGAAGAGTGAAAAATAAGTGAGTGGTCCGATGATGGAGTAGACGTGGAAGAGAGAATAAGTTGGTTGATTGTATTTGGGTGAGGGCCCATTGTGATGCCACCCATGACCCAACCGCTGTGCGTCGCTGCATCCACAGTTTTTGTGCCCTATGGGCCCCAACCTTAGTCACTCCTCTACTTTCACAACATTTCACAAAAATACTTGTCTCAATTTTTACTCCTATACACAAAATTTTAATATAAATTATTATATTGAGGCTCACATGAAAGAAAATTTTATTATATAGACTTTCAATTCTTACTCCCTGATTTGGTGGACAATAAAAAAATATTCTTTTTTCATGCAAGTCTCAATACAAGTGCCTACATCAAAATTTTTTGTGTGAAAATAAAAAATGAGAATACATATGAATTTTCTTATGAAAAAAGTAGTTTACCAGACATCAGAGAGAGAAATTTAGGGGGTAAAATTTGAGAGTAATAGAACTCTTTTATAAATATCTCTAATATTTTGAAATACATAGATACTAATTTTTTAAAAATATTAATTTTGTTCCGTAAATTATAAAATATGCATAAGTTTTTTTTTTCATTTAGAGAGATAAAATAGTCACTTATAAAATTTGTATTGTATCAAGTGGCTTGTGGTCCACTAGTATTCGGTTTGACTCCTTACGTGGGAAATTTAGTGTTCGAACCTCAGTATAGGCGAATATTGTGTATATGTGGATGTCCCACTCTCCCCCTTCCTTTGTAATAAAAAAAATATTATATTTTTAATCGTTAATATATATTTCAAAATGAGAAAAAATAGTCACTACTGTGATTTTATAAACTCATTAATATTACTCCTTTTCTCAAACTCATTTTTTTCAAGCTAAAGAGTACATTCAATTTAGAATTTCTAATGAAATAGAAATATTCTCAACAACCAACCAGTTGCACGTCACACAATTATCTACTTCCCTAGTTCCCCCGTCTATCACCAAAGCTGCTAATCTTTCACACGAGATTAAAATTTATACAAAATATAAACATTTAAGCTTATCCTCAAATTGATTCTTAATTAATTAAAATCTAATATATATTGAAATTCATGTAATATTATAATTGAAATTTAAAAATAAAAATAAAAATACTCCATTCTATCTCATTTTCATTGATCAAACCAATATAATTTCTAAATATATAAATTTTGTATACTAATACTAAACTTAATATTATAAAAAATTAAATTTATTTTCAAAAAAAATAAAAAAAAATAATAATAAATTAAATTAAAAATAACTTCAATCAAGTCTCATTAATCAAATACACATAAAATAGGTCTCATTAATCAAATACACATAAAATAGGACAAAGGAGTACAAAGTAAAACGACAATGCATGTAATGAACTTTATATCTAAAATAACACTGTAATATCTCTCAAAAAACACTGTAATAAATACTACAAATACAAATAAACATTTAATCAAAGCAAAATATAGGGCAAATTTTCAAAGACACAACAAAAAGCATTGTTCCAAAGATCAATCCAGGTTTAACAGAACTAAATAAAGAACATCATGCCCATCAAATCGTCTCTAGATCAAAATACTCCCTTCACTAACAAACAACAAGAAGGCCTTCAATCCATTAGCGGTACTGCAAAGGCCAATCAAGGAAACTTCAGTCCCGGTAACAATGGTAAATGATAAATGCATGAAAAGAGAGTTAACACAGTGAAGGCATTAATAGCCAAAAACTTCAATATCATATATTAGTGATATTGAAATCATACAGCAGAAGAAACGCAAGACTAATCAGTAATCACCATGAAAAATACGAAACCACGCTTAAATATTTGAAACAGAATAATAAGATACACAAGTATGAAACTCAATGGCAAACCTTTATGAACCCGATTTCTTTGGCATTGCTGCGGAAGCACTGTCTGCAGCACATAAGGCCATACTTTCTGATAATTCCATGAGAATTCCCACACACACGGCTGCCATTCACAAGTAGAATAATATTACATACCAACACGGAATTATGTTATAATGCAACAAGCAAAGAATTCTCTTCAACCCTCATTCTTCTTGGATTCAAATGTACTTACCTTTAAGAGCTTATGACCCATAAAACTAGAAGGTATAACAATTAACAAAGGCCAATTCCAAGAAAATATGAACTGTATTATTTTTGTAATCATCTTACCATATTTGTTTATATCCATTTAGAGACTTAAGGATGATTAACATCTTTGTAGTATTAAAATCGGAAGTGGAAATTAGACAGAACATTATTACCTTCCATTCAGCTGTAACAGAGACAATGGCATAAATATGCTATCCTATATTATGTGTTACAGATTTAACATTCTGTTTACAGTCATTACATACGCAGCTAAGTTTACAGCACCAAATCAACACACGGACAAAAACAAAATTTACTATTACAATAACGGCATGTCAAACGGAATACAACGACAAACAAATCGATTCCTACAAATGAAATTACTACCGGCATTAAATCGAACGAATAGGAGCTTCAATCACATCTAATATTCTCAGCGAGCAAAGCAAAATAAGATGAATCAGAAGAGAAAGTACTTGACAGTTTTGAGGTAATAAAACCAGATTGTGATCGGCAGATTCTCGAAAAATAAACTCAGGACAAATCAAAGAAGGAGGGGAAGGAGAAAAGTACCATGCGCGTGATCCAGGTCCATAGGTCTTAGGGTGAGCGTTCCAGATGTTTGAGTGACCCATGACTACCTTGGATTCAGCTGCCGCTTCTGAGTTCTGAAACAATGAAAACGGTGAAGAGACAAGATTGATTATTAGGCTTATTTAGCGTTGACGAGTAACATTTAGGGCAAATATGGGCCTTTGGGCTACACTTTAGTTGTTCCATTTTGTTAGTATGAGACTTTGGGCCTTATAGACCAACGACAAATTAACATTGTCGCAAATTATGCTGTGGACTCGTGTACACAATGCATTGTGGACACGAGTCCAAAACGACATCGTTTTCAGGAAAAACACGGCATTCTAGTTAAAGAAAAAAAAATGATTTTGTCTCGCCGTTAACAGCGTTATTTGTTTGTGGCATTCTGAATGTACAGTTATGAAATTATGAATGTAAGTTATAGAATTATGAACAGAGAGCTCTGACATTATGAACATATAGTGATAAAATTATGAACATAGAGTTTCGAAAATTATGAATGTACAGTTATAGAATTATTAATGTACAGTTAGGAAATTATGAATGTACAGTTATAGAATTATGAATGTACAGTTATGGAATTATGAACACAGAGCTCTGACATTATGAACTTACAATATGAATATATAGTGAAAAAATTATGAACATAGAGCTCTAAAATTGTGAACATAAAACTTCGAAAATTATGAATTTACAGTTATTGAATTATGAACAAAAATCACTATTATAGTTGCTCTAAAATATTGCCTAATATTTCAATTGCTCATACAAGCCAGTTTTCTAAAATGATGCACAATTGATGAAAATTTAGAAGCTAATATAATAAGAAAAATTATTAGATTCTTTTTTTTTTTTAGGTATCATAACTTTCCAGATTATATTATAAGGTTTGAACACTTATAAGTTATACTAATTTTTTTATAAGTGTTGCTGGCAACTGTGAGAAAAGCTCCATTAGCGTCTCTTATTATCCATCCAAAGCCCATAGTGTGAGAGCCCCTACTAATTGCGTGCTATTGAAAAGCTCCATTAGCCTTACTAATATACGGAGTAATATTTAGATTGGAAAACTTTTTAAAAAAAAATAATATGCAATAACTATTTTTTTTTATCAAGATAAAACTCACAAAAAGAATAAACCAATCTAAATTATCCATACATGAACATCTACAACAAAAATAGCACACATCTAACTTTATACAAACCAGTAGAATTACTATGTTTGGGAAAAGATTTAAGGATACTAACTTGTAAGTGAAAATCTGTGGATGAAGCTGTAGCCATGGTTATTTATAAAACTACTAATTAGGCTTTTGAAAACATGAATACACAACAGATTCAGCCACCGCCATTTCCTCCCTGTCTCGTTACCAAAGCGTGTTACTTCCTTGCAAGTCACAGTTACGCTGCTCACAGTCGAGTTTACCCCACCGTGCATCAACCCGTTCACAAGGGAAATTGAGTTTACCCAAACTGTTGAAAGAAAATTTCTGGGATTAGCATTCATAGTGGATATTGTTATATCCTTGTACAGGATTTCATACATTTTTAAAATAAGAAAATTTCCGGGATTGCATGAAAATGTTGAAAGATTTACAGCAAAATACCTTCTATTAACGACATTGTGCACATGACACAACCATTGGGAAAACTCAGCTTGAGATCTGGCTTGTACAGGATTTGCTCTGCAAGGACCAAAAAAAAAAAAACAATTTTTAATAGAAATTCACTTTCCAACTTTTGAGTTTTGATATCAAAAAGAAAGCCAAAGGGAGGCACATTCTTATCCATTGAAAAAGTGGGTGAATGAGTAGATACCGTAGAATTTCTTTAAAATGATCAGCACAGTCCTTGCAAGGGTACATGCGAGATAAGATTGCCATCTGCAAACCATGTGAAAGAGGAAAATATGAATTTAATTGACACAATAACTCTCTTACATTTTTACCTTCTCAAGTCCTTGTAAAACATTACGGAAACTCGGAATTTGTGCCTTAATTGACATTAAACACAAAGTTCACAATTGACAAATCAGAAAAGCAAGATAGAGAATAATAAAGAAATTGAAATAGTAAGGGCGGTGGTACAAGTGGCATCAACCTTCACATAGTCATAGCCCCATAGAAACTATTCAGTGTTCCATCTCAAATCAGAAGAACTGGATTTTATTTCTAGCTATTATGAACTGATGAAGTGAAAGGAAACTGAGTGGAAAAGAGAGTATTGTACCAATTCTTTTACATCCTTCTTTTGTTGCCTTGTTGGCTTCTCTGGGTACTGAAATCAACAATCCAGATATAGAATCAAATGTCGAACAATTAAGAGCATCACAAAATCTAGAATGCAACAATGGAACAAATTATTATCATGTCTATCAGGTTATATATGAGCCTCGATTTTATGCCATTGATAATTTGTCAAAGAAAAATACCAGCCTCCATCTTACTCAAAACCTCCAAGAATATAGAATAGAGCATATTGGTTGAATAAGACAAGAAAAAAAAAATCATCATATAAAAGGAATGACCTGAGCTGCAAGAGTGTGAAGAAAAACCCAAGTGGCCCTTCCAAGCTCTTCTTTAGTCACTGGGCCAGCAGAATTTTCCTGAACGGAATAACAATAAGAATAGCGACCTTTGACTGAATACTCTTATATGTTAAAATAAAATAAAATATGGAGCAAATGCTAAGAGAGGCCAAGAAAATAGTTCCAATCAGTAAAAATATTCCTGAAATGAAATGCACGATCCTAAAGCAGTATCCAAAATGATCATAGCAGTAAATCCTTTTATTCATTTCTATCTTAACACGCTCATTGCAGTAGGTTTTGCACCAATAGTCCTCTCGATGAACATAAATCTAAAAGAACACAACACTGCATTTTATTAATCTTGACTGGAACTTTTATTGAATAGCTAACGAGCATGAATTGTAAGTATAGCCAATTCTTATAAAACAGACAAGAGAACTGCAGTGATGCTCAGACAATACCACGAGGAAAGAAACAAAGTGCTCGTCAAATGTATTTAAGGAGCTAAAGTTACCTTCTTTGGAACTTCAGCAGGATGGAGAAGAGCAGAAACGGCAGGTCTTGGAGCCAAGTGGTTAGCTTTTGGAGCTGTAGAGATAGCAAAGAGCGGCTTGGCGTGTGGGTTGTTCGGAAATCTTAGGAATTGAGAGAGATGGGTTTGGATGCAATTTGATACCTTCTCAAATGTTTGGAAGAGAAGCTGCAATGGATTCTCAGATGTCGACATAGGAAGCCACAAGCTGGAGGAAGCAATTTAGCAGGAAGCTCCACTTAATTTCGACAAATAGCAATCTCATTTTCATTATTAAAAATGCTATTTATACCAAGTATTTTATCTAATACTACAAAAGAATTATACTGTAAACTTTGCAAGCTGTGCACTAAGCATTCAGATAAAGTCCAGGCCGGAGTTGCAGCTAGCTTAGCAATATCTGAAACTTTAAGAAAGTAGGCTTAATTCATCACCCAGTTTCGCCCAAATTTCCCCACTTTCAATACGAGTAGCAGATTATTTCCACAAATAGTAATCAGTAGAACTATGGACATAGTAGTAGCAGCAAAGGTAAATGAAAATTAAGTACTATCCAGAATATGAAAGCCCCAATCCTGGTATTTTAGCATTAAAGTATAGCCCAAAAAGGACAACAAATTTAAGTTAGAAGAATGAAGAAATGCATTTTCTAGGCATATATTAACAAGATGAAGCATTCAAACAAATTCCAGGAGTTATGAAAACATATACTTTAAAGCCTTCATATTGAAATTTTAAAATCAATAAATATGATTATTTAATTTTCCCACATTATAAACAAAACAAAACCAAAACCAAAACCAAAAAAAAAAAAAAAAAAAATCTTATGATTCTCTCCTAACAATAATTACCTTATGATTCAGCCGGACGGCGAGGAGGGGCTGGCAAGTGGCAACGGCGTCTTGTCGAGGAATGAGGATGGTGAATTGGCGGATATACTGAGATAAACTACATAATTAAAGCAACCACAGGCACAAGTTAAATATTTACAGCAAAATATTCCTAGATTATGAAATAAGGGGATAGGGATTCACAGGAGAAAATAAAACAAAGAGGGAGATGGTGGGCATACTCTGACAGTCTGACGTGTGACGTCCTGAGTCCGTCGCCGGTGAGGAGCGTGAGGCCGGCGGGGTCGACGCTTGAAGGGGCCAATGGCCTGGGCGGCTGTGGCAAAAAACAGATGGGCGCGCCGCGCGGGACGTGGGTACTGTACTCAGTACTCTGGTAGAGAACTATGGTCTTAGGCTCTGTTTGGCTTGGCGCCTTGGCAGAGCTTATTACTTATTACGGAGTACTTGTTAGGCTATCCATAATCCATGCTATCCTCTGGCAGTCTTTTTGTATTGATGTAATTGACTAATTTCAACCTACTTTTAAATAAGAGTTCTACTACATTAACTCCCAAATTCTACTCTCTAATGTGGCAAGTCTAGATTGGTTGTTTTCAACATGTGGGTCCACAGAAAAATGTCTACATCAATAACATGTGAGAGGGAGTACAAGTTCGGAGTATAAAATGGGAGTACACCAAGTATTTTTCTTTAAATAATAATGACACTTTCACATTATTTAAAAAAAAAATTATTTTCTTTTATTAATTAATGAAATAATAGAAAAACGGTTGTTTAGAAAATTATAGTGGAAAAAAAAAAAAAAAAAGATAACGTGTGAACAACTGTTGTTATTGGTTACAACAAAAATAGTTTTAAACTATTGTCATAATATAAAATCTCATCAAAGAAAATAACCACAATATGATAAGAATTTTACTATTGCTTGAATAGATCCTTTATCATCAATAGATGCAGCTCGTTCAATTATGTCTCATACTCTCATGGATCATGTATATCATCACATAAAATTCACATAGTGCAGCTACTGATGCGGCTAAGTCGACAACCCTCTAACCTTAATCGAACAATTACAACAGGATGCAAATTGACCCTGCATGACTGCATTTAATCTCACTATGGTTAGTGGTACGTTGGGAGGCGCCATGCCAGCCACGACGATGAACAGGTGGGCCCAGTGCCCCTCCTCCACCTATTTGCAACCAAGCCCCTATATCTCCCCCTCCCCTCCCTCCCTAGCACTTTGGCAAATTATGCAGGGGACTCAGATCCACTTTGAAAGGTCGAGCCAGGTCCAAAATGTGCGTCTAGAATAATAGTGTCGTTAGTGACACCGTTTCCTCAACTAATAATTTTCTTTTTGTGAATATAGAGTGTAAAATTTGTGAATATAAATTCAAATATTGTGTTATACTGTTGAATATAAAGTTCTGTAAATGTGAATATAAAGTTCTTTAATTGTGAAATAGAGTTATGAAATTGTGAATATAAAATTATGAAAGTTATGAAATTGTGAATATAGAGTTCTGTAATTTTGTATATTGAGTTCTACAATTGTGAATATAGAGTTCAACAATTATGAAGGCAAACGGCAATGAAAGAAGCAATTTTTTTTTAATTCAGACAACATCGTTTTGAAATAAAACGACGCCACTTTAGGGAGCGTTATGCCATGGAACCGTGTTCACCATTCATGGTGAACACGATTCCAACGGTGTTAGTACACCGTTATCTTTTTTTTTTTTTTTCTTAATTAATTGCGTGACTTTTCTTCTTCATTTTCACATTTTGTGGTTTCACTTTAATTTGAGGTGAATAATGATTTCGGACATTCATAAATTATGAATTCATGCCTGCACATTCACTCTGGAACCATGCCTACACATTCCCGTCCAAAATCACGGATATTCATAAATTATGAATTCATGCCTGCACATTCACTTTGGAACCATGCCTACACATTCACTTTGGAACCATGAGATTATGAATTTTCTGTTATAAGATTATGAATTTTCAGTTATGAGATTATGAATTTTCTGTTATGCGATTATGAATTTTCTGTGTATGCGATTATGAATTTTCTGTTATGAGATTATGAATTTTATGAAAATTCATAATCTCATAATAGAAAATTCATAATTTGATCAACGCGCGCCGTTAACTCCACATCCGCGATTTTTTTGTTTTTTTTTTTTGTTTTGCCTAAAAACGACGTCGTTTGGCCTTGTGTTCACCATTCTCGGTGAACACGTTTCCAGGGCATAATTTGCCAATAGTTATGCTGTGCAACCGAATGTACCATGCGCATGGTGCATACGGTTCAAAATGACGACGTTTTGATTAAAAACGCGCGTCCCACTTTAAAAAAAAAATCAGGTTCGACTCTCAGCAATAGCATTATTGTGGATATATAATTATGAAATTGTGGTTATATAGTTATGAATTTATTGATATTTAGTTCATTCATTGTGGATATTTAGTTCAATCATATATTGTGGATATTTAGTTCATTCATTGTGGATTTTTACTTCATTCATTCATTCATTCATTGTGGATTTTTACTTCATTCATTCACTGTGGATATATAGTTATGAAATTGTGGATATATAGTTATGAAATTGTGGTTATATAGTTATGAATTTTTGGATATATAAAAATGTTATTGCCGGGAATCGAACCTGATTTCTTCTTTAAGTAGGACGCGCGTTTTTTTAACCAAAACGGCGTCGTTTTGCAACCGTATGCACCTGGCAAGGTGCATTCGGTTGCACATCATAATTTGCGATAATTTGTCACTTTAGATACAAATTCACATTGCAAGGTGTATCCGGATCCATTGCATAACAATTGTAGCACTTTCACCCCAAGCAATTCTCTAACAATTTTCACCGACCCAATCTCCTTGCCCCAACCCAATCCGCCTACAGGCTACACCCAAGGCCCATCAAAGTTAATATTAAAGTGGATTATTGTAGTCATGATCAAAGTTTTTTATTATTTTTTTATTTACATACATTTAAATTTTTGTGTAAATTAAAATAAAAAAAATGTATTTTTTTTTTCTGGCTCTTCGTAATATACACCGACGAAATTGGTACAACAGTGGGCATCAGCATCACGCGTCAATTTTTTCTAAAAAGGGCACTTATGGACAAGATGCCATGCAAGAACCAAAGTACATATATGTGATAATAGCCGTACGTGGAAAACTCAGGAAAAAAAAAAAAGGATGAAAGCGTTCACGTTCTGATACCTTCTGTTCTGATTTACGAACGCCATTAAAACCTTCACCGCCCATCTATCCCAGTTGATGAAGAAGAGAATTGATTCCTCCTCTGATGTAACACTTGAATTGAAAATAGTGTTTAATTTGTTTATTCGATCTACTGACCGGACACCATAAATAACGCCCCTGCCTGCCTGCATCCTTCAATTCATCATCTATCATTCTTAATTAAAACACACACTGTAAAACATCGTACGTCGTACTCCGTTATTAAGATCATCAAACAACCTCCTGCAGCAACCTGCAAATCCATGGCTACTGCTTGTCTCACTTGGTTCTCAAGGATGCCACTTCATATTAGGTCACGATTATATCTTCTTTTTTTTTTAAAAGTTTAAATTATATTAATTGTAATTATTGATCGTTTCAAGTTATTTTCTCTAAGTTAATTATTCGGTGTTAAAGTGTCATAATAAGATTTTTTATTAAATCTATAGTATGTTTTTAGTTAATTAAGTGCATATTATAACATCACATTTTGTTTATTATTTTTCTTAAAAATATATTCAATGGGTCGAATTTGAAACTTTGTAATTATCAAATTAACTGTTTAACTATATTATTTATTTGAATTTTATATGCTAATATTACATTAAATTGTAAAGAATATGAGCTAAATTTCGTTATTAACTATAAAATGGAACAAAATTAAGAATCGGAGTATACATTATTATTAGGGTCAACAATTTAGTTTTTTGTTAAGAACTTTTATGCATGCATGCAGCAAGGGGTTACCTGCGGCATATTGTGGGAGTGGGAGATGTTACAGGACGACAATTAGGCATGTTGAGTCGTGGAATGTGGTGGAAGTGGAGGGGCCGGCGGCGAACAGAGGTTGCTGGGTACCTGATCCCCGCACAGGCATATACTTCCCTGAAGGGCATGAGAGGGTCATGGATGATATTCCAAATGCTGCTGCCACTTCCACTCAAACTTACTGGTTAAGGAATGTTGATGGAGTTGACACTACATCAACCCCTCACCCTCACCATCATAATCAACAACAACCGTACGATTAAATATGAAGTTATTATGTGATGATTGAGTTGCAATACATGCAATGATATGTTGTTATGTTAAAAGTTAATTAGTAGCAAAGACTCTACTTATATAATAATATTTTAATAGTTTGATGTTGGATTTGGACCTCTAAGCATACTTTAATTTTTAGTTATGGATTTTGACATAACACAACATACAAATTTATAACATAAAACACAATTACTAATTTGTTTAAGACTTTAAAAGTATAACATTCATATTGTTAAGGTACATAATTTCATAATACAAGACATAAAAATTCACAAATTAAGCTACATACACGTGCATGTATGCAATAGGGTCCACAATGCAATGTGAATCCTGGTCCATTGTATAATGATTGCTTCGCCGTTTCCATCCCTACCCTTCTTCATCACCCATCCTTATACCATGGACCAAGGTACACAGTGCACTATGGACTCTGGTGCATGTGTATGTTTCTTTCAAAAATTTTGTGTCTTATTGTGTTATGAAATTTTGAACATTACGAGTATGAATTCTGTACCTGAAATAAATTAGTAATTGTCTCGTATATTATGAATTTATGTGTATTGTGTTGTAAAATTTTGTGTCTATGAAAACAAATTATGTACCTAAATCAGATTTGAAAAATAAGTAAATACATAACATGTGCATATCTTGTGTTGTGATTTTTTGTTTGTTTTGTGTTATAAAATTTTGTACCTTACGAGTATAAATTCTATACCTCGTTGTTTCGATCCAGAGTCCATAATGCTATGTGGATCCTGGGCCATGATATAAATTGCCCTGCATCACAGGAAATTATGCTGTGGAATCGTGTCCACCTTGCAAGGTGGACACGGCTCCAAAACTGTCATACTTGTAAATATAGAGTTCAAAAATTATGAACATATAGTTCTATAATTGTGAATATAGAGTTCAATAATTGTGAATATGAAGTTCAAAAATTATGAACATAGATGATAGTACTAATTCGTACCGTAGAGATGTATGTATATGCGTACGTATAAGCATAAAAAAGAATCAACACAAGAAATAGGTGAAATTGGCTTCTTTTATTAAACTGGTTTGTTGTTGTTTATCTCTGCATTTTGAGAGAAAGGGGAGAAGAGGGAGAGAGAGAGCCGAGAGATGGGGAAGGGAGAAAATGGGCCTCCCCTTTCCCAAAGGGCTCCAGGCCCTTTTAAAGGCCCACCGAGGCGGCGGGTTTGACCCATCTCGGGTTTGACCCGTCGCCTTTGACCCCGACCCGACTGCGAGCGATGGCACGGACCCGGGGTATATACCTTATCAAAAGCCCCCACAGCCCGTGCCCTGACGACGAGCATCGAGGAAGGGTTCGGGCTGGAAAAACGAGTCACACGGTCCGTGACATATGCCGGTTGCCTCGTTAAAAACCTTAGGCTAACAAAAAACCCAGCGGGAAAAAACTTTAGCCAAAGGAAAAAAGAGTGCAACGCTCAGACATAGTCCGGTGGACCGAAACGGAGCGCCCGACCCAGTGGTCGAGCTCGCAACGCAACTTGCGAAAGGCCGAGCCCAGCCGGTTCGCGACTGGATTGCCGGGCACGACTGGGTTGTCGATTCGACTGCGATCTGGAGATCTGCTAACCAACTATGGGGTTGGATTCGCTTGTGACCGAGAGACTGGATTCATTCGGGCGAAACGTTATTTGGGCGAAGCGAACGCGATTCGACCGTTTCGACCGATGAACGTGCTACTCGGGCAAACTAAAACGCAGACGAGCTGCTCGGGCCAGCGCAGCCCCCACTCCCGCAGGTGCAAGAACCGTCAGCACAAAGGAGTGGATACGACGGGTTACCGTCCGGGAAACGAAATCGCGGTCGGGAAGTGCCTCGACCGGGTCCGCAATGTGAGTGCACCCGGCTATAACTACCGCGCCGACGATCGGGCACAACACCGCTAACGAGCGGTACACACACGTTGCTAAAAAAAAGCGGTAAAGCATCACACAAAGATAGTAAACACATCGCTAAAAAGCGGCATCGCCAAGAGGCGGTAAACACATCGCACGGCATCGCCTAAAAGCGGAAACAATATCGCTAAAACGCGGCATCGCTAAGAGGCGGAACAAGCACATCGCGCGGCATCGCCTAAAAGCGGAAACAACATCGCTAAAACGCGGCATCGCTAAGAGGCGGACAAGCACATCGCTCGGCATCGCCTAAAAGCGGAAACAACATCGCTAAAACGCGGCATCGCTAAGAGGCGGAACAAGCACATCGCGCGGCATCGCCTAAAAGCGGAAACAACATCGCTAAAACGCGGCATCGCTAAGAGGCGGACAAGCACATCGCTCGGCATCGCCTAAAAAGCGGAAATATCATCGCTAAAACGCGGCATCGCTAAGAGGCGGAACAAGCATATCGCTCGGCATCGCCTAAAAGCGGAAATGTCATCGCTAAAACGCGGCATCGCTAAGAGGCGGAACAAGCACATCGCTCGGCATCGCCTAAAAGCGGAAATATCATCGCTAAAACGCGGCATCGCTAAGAAGCGGAATACATCGCTGAAAAGCGATATATGCATCGCTGGAAAGCGGGATTCATCGCTGAAAAGCGGCATCGCTAAGAAGCGGAATACATCGCTGAAAAGCGGTATAAACCGGTATAACCGGACTCATAGACCCGGTGGTGGCAATGCCAACCTAACCGGTCATAGAGTGCCAGTGGTGGCGAGGCCAACCTAACTGGTCTTTAGAAACACCGGAGGCGGCAGTGCCAACCTACTCGGTCTAACAAGGCGCGTGGCTCACTTCCCCTTCTCGTCGGAGGTGGCAGTGCCGACCTGCTCGAGGTGGGAAAGCGCGTTGGACGACCGAGCTAATAGCCTCCAGGCGACCCCCATGCCAGCATCGCCTTACCCGGGCAGACGGGTTGAACCAGCCGCTCTAGGCCGACCAGGCGCATGGCCTCGGGCGACCCACATATCAGTATGTTATCCGAGCAGACGATTCGACCCGGCCTATCGACCCGCATATCAGTATGTTATCCGAGCAGACGATTCGACCCGGCCTATCCTGCCCAGCCCCCCACTGTCGGACGTACTTAAGTATAAGGGCGTGTGACAGTGAAACTAGCGGCCGGGCGAACTCAGGGCGCGGTCTTCGGTCTTCGGGTGGGCCGTTTAGGACGGGATATTCCCGACCTTGGGCCCAAACTGCAGTTCCCGACTCGTGGGCCTTGGAACCTTTCTTAGCCTTAGGCTTGCTTCAACTGCTGCTTGGCCGTCACGATCGGGGGTTTCCCGAGTGCCGGCCCGAACCGTGATTCCCGGCCTCCGGGCCTCGGAATACTTCTTCAGGCACTGTTTGGCCGCCTCGATCGGGGGATTCCCGAGTGTGGGCCTAAACACTTCACGAGGGCCCGCTGCATGGGGTGTTCCCGAGCATGGGACCTGTGGCGCTCCCTTCCTATTTAGCCCCCACTGTGCGCGCTCGGGGCGCGAGTGAGTGCAGTACCGGAGAGGAGCGGGCGGATCGGGGAATATGCCGTGGTGTCGACCTCCCCGATCGGCGATATGACCAGTCGATTGCCTCGCCCGGTCAAGGGTCAGTCGGCTATTAGAGCCGCAGAACTGAGGCTATTAGAGCCCGATTGCACACCCCTATCGGTGGGGACCGAGGGAGAGGAGTGACGGCTATTAGAGCCGGTTTGGCTGCTGGGCAAGGCGCCCGTCTTCAATCTTCGGACACCGCTATCGGTCGGAACCGAGGGAGAGGTGTGTGGGGCGAAGCGCCTGTCTTCAATCTTCGTTGGAGCGTCGTCCGATTGGTCTTGAGACCCAAATTTGCCTACGTGGTAGGGCTTGGTGCCGGGGCTTTTCCCGGGCTTAACAATGCCGGTGGTGGCGAGGCCGACCTGACCGGGCTCTTAGTGCCGGTGGTGGGAATACCAACCTAACCGGACCTATTACAAGTAATTACAACTTCTAGGTACAGGCCCATAACCTATACAATTTGTAATTGGGCCTATACAGCTTGCTATAAAAAAAAGCTACGGCCCATTTTAAATTATGAGCCTGACTAGTCTAATTAGACTATTACAAAAATTACAAATAATTACAAAATTTGTAATTTGTCTTCATCTTCAAATTCTTCACACCAACGTGACCCCACTTCCTTGATTCTCTCAATTTACCACCAATCTCCACCACAAATTGTCTGCCACAATTTAATGCTTTGACTTTTTGCTCTTATCCACCGCCACCTCCCACCAATGGAAATGCATGCAATATCCCACTTTAGATTTCTTTTGCTTTTTTAGTCCAATTCGAATTCCACCGCCACCATGCGGTGATGGCCGACAATCAAGTCCTCAAGCTGTTCCACAGTGATAATTAAAACTCCAGGATTCAAGATCATAAAGGGGAGTTTCCACCGAACTCAACCACCTCGGTGTCATGCAGATAAACACGGGCTTTCCTCTCCATCAGATTCACGAAGGAAAAAGTGTGTGCTGCTGGATAGGCTCTGCCGGCACATGTATTTCTGTTGAGGTCGTAGTCCGTCACTGAATCTATAGAGAAAGTGAACAACGTTGATAAATTGAGGCAGTAGTGGCAAACAGAGAAAGCAAAACAAAAAACTCCCTGGATCATCTGCATGAAGAAGCGAAGTGGTCTGCTTCTTTCGGATGGGACACCTGGTCTTCCTCAGGCTTCTAAGATCTGCCCGTCTCTTTTCTGCATGTGGCGAAGAAGAGTCCATCCGCCATCAATCGAATGAGCAGAGTGGTGGAGTGGTCGTCGACGAGAGATCGGCGGTGCATGCAAGCCGCGATTTGCGTTTGACGGCAGAATGGTCTGACTTTCGCGATGATCCTTTGAAAGCTCAAGATATATAATATGCAAGAGATGAACAACGAAGCATAGCGGTGGCGTGGCTGGAGTACCAGCCCAGTAGCTTCAGCTTCTGGGTTTGAACCTCTCCCTTTGATGGTAGGAACGTACCTTTTTGTCACGATCCCCACGGACGGCGCCATTTGATAGTACTAATTCGTACCGTAGAGATGTATGTATATGCGTACGTATAAGCATAAAAAAGAATCAACACAAGAAATAGGTGAAATTGGCTTCTTTTATTAAACTGGTTTGTTGTTGTTTATCTCTGCATTTTGAGAGAAAGGGGAGAAGAGGGAGAGAGAGAGCCGAGAGATGGGGAAGGGAGAAAATGGGCCTCCCCTTTCCCAAAGGGCTCCAGGCCCTTTTAAAGGCCCACCGAGGCGGCGGGTTTGACCCATCTCGGGTTTGACCCCGACCCGACTGCGAGCGATGACACGGACCCGGGGTATATACCTTATCAATAGAGTTCAATAATTGTGAATATGAAGTTCAAAAATTATGAACATAGAATTTTATAATTATGAACATAGAATTCAGTAATTATGAATATAGAAGCGTGTCCATCTTGCACGGCATAACAATTGCTGGGATCGTTATGTCATGGGACCGTGTTCACCATGAATGGTGAACACGGTCCCAACGGTAACAGTGCACCGTTATCCTTTTTTTTTTTTTTTTTTTTCCTTAATTACCCGCATGACTTTTTTTCTTCATTTTCACATTTTGTGATTTCACTTCCTCTTTGCGCAAGCTTCTTCAACATAATCTCATAAAAAGAAAATTCATAACTTTATAACTGCACATTCATAAATCCATGCCTGCACATTCATAATTGCATGGATTTATGAATGTGCAGTTATGAAATTATGAATTTTCTGTTATGAGATTATGAATTTTCTGTTATGAGATTATGAATTTACAGTACATTCATAATCTCATAACAGAAAATTCATAATCTGACCAAACGCGCGCCGTTAACACCACATTAGCAATTTTTTTTTTTCCGTAAAAACGGCACCGTTTGGATCCGTGTTCACCTTGCAAGGTGCGCATGTGCGCATAGCATAATTTGCCCAATTGCTGGCAAATTATATCATATATGCACCATGGTGCATGATCAATCATGCACCGCACGTCCTTTTTTTTAAATGAAAAGAAACGGTGTTTATTTTCCGCCGTTTCGCAAAAAGTAATCCTGTTATTCAGTGTCATTTTGTATACACTATAGTTTCAGTTCAACACAACTACAGTTTCATTTCGATATAACTATAGTTTCATTCGATATTTATAGACTCAAATATGTGAAAATGTTATTTAATTTTATTTTATATACATTATAGTTTCATTAAAACACAACTATATGATAATTTTGATATAATTACAGCTTCATTGTACAATATACACTCAAATATGTGAAATGTTATTCAGTTTCATTTTATATACACTGCAGTTTCATTTCACTATAACTACAGTATCATTTTGATATAACTACAGTGTCGGTTTAAATATACTGTAGTATCAGTTGATGTTTAATATACCAAACAAGTGGACTCCGTTAACTATAACGACGTGCCGTTTCTTTACTTAAAGAAACTGCGCCGTTTTTTACCGCGGTGCATGTGTATGATATAACGACCCCCAATTGCTGCATCACGGTTTGGGTCCATTTATCTCAGCCCTTGTTTCAAAATGGGCCAAGAAGAGAAGGAAGTTTATAAGCCCAAAACATTTGATATTTCGTTTATAACGATCCGAATCAGAATTAACACTGATGTTTCTCTCGTTTTCAACGACGGAAAGCGAGTATTATTCTCCTAACTCACGTCTTATCAGTAGAATCTACCTCGAATGCTCTCAGCTCTTTCTTCTTCTTTTCCTACATTTTTATCTTATAAACATCATCGTATGTTCAATTATTTCTTTATTTATGCAGAATTACGGAAAGAAATATTCAAATTTTAACGTTGCATGACGAGCGCAGCGGAGCTATTTTACACCAGGAGGACTCGTTTGGGTAGGGGCAGCTCCGGATTTGAGTCCGATTCCGTTCCTGACCGAATATCTCCCCACCACCGTATCACTGGTAACCGTCACCACCGCCACCAGCGCTGTGGCAATGGAGCTCGCCGTGTCGGTAGGCTCGATTTGATCGCCTCTGACCCTCTTCCGCGGTCTAGAATTCTAACCCACCGTTCCTCTGTTCAGGTAAGCCAATTCAAATCTCTTGGTATAAATCGTATAATTACGATATTATGCATAGATGATTCAATAGTGTGATTATTTGAATATAATCCTTGGCGTTTCACAATTTTATTTTTATTAGGAACATAATTTTTTTTTTTTTAATTTTTTCTATTTTCGCGATGGTCAACTAGGTCATTAGGAGAAATGATAATTGATAAAGAAGGAATGGAAGGTCAATTTTGGTATGATAAATTGGTCCTTGGGAAACATGACCCACTCAACTGATTTGTTTTCTGTGGCCGTGGCTACTTAGCTTTGAGATTTTTATTTGTGATGTGATATTGATTGACATAAACTTAACAACCTCTCAAATCAAGAAATTAAGTAGGAGAAGAAGAAGAAATTAAGTACTTGTAAAATTTATGGTGCCCTTCAAAATTTGTGCTTTTATGACCTTTTAGATGTTACTAATACTATTATGACTTCAAATTAGTAGTGTTAATGATTTCATATAACTAGATTTTTGGAAGATTTGAATGTTTGCTAATATTAAGTTTAGTTGATTTATGTGCATACTTAACCATTCTACTTCATTATTGAATTGCTTGAGTTAAGAGTTATTGCTAGCTTATTGTATCCTGCCTTCTTTTCTTGCACTTATCTTTGTCTTATGTTCTTTGAGATCATTGGTGATGAATGGCAAAATGAAAGCTATATTATTATTATTGTGTGTGTGTGTGTGTGTTTAATAGAAGTCAATCTATCAAATATTTATAAGCTAACAAGAAGAATTTACTTCTCATATTGGTTAGGAACATGACTCAGTTGACCTTGATCCCTTCACTAGCCCATCTTCTCCGGGAAGCATAAACAGCTCAGAAAATGAAATCAATATAAGAGATAGGTTTAGAATTACTGGGGATGATGGGCTTCCTGGATCTGTCATACTTGCAAGGGAAAGACTTCTTCAAAGACTCAGAGGCATTTCTCTATCTGGAAACAGGTTGGTCATTGGTCCCACCGGATTATATCTGTTTTACATTTGCTTTTTATGTGAATACTTTTACAATTCTTCTACAATTGTTGTCTCTTGATTGTGTTTGCGTTATTTTGTCACGGGTAGAATCTCCTTGTTTATCTATACACCTCACACCTGCTTGTTACTATATTATGCTTGAGTTGAACTTTTCTTTGTGAACTATAAGTCATCATTTGCAAATGTATTCGGGTCCAAACATGCAAATATATGTGTTAATGTTTCTGGCGATGAACTTATGTCAAATAATAGATGTTGATCTTCTATTACTCCATTTTAGGTGCAGCAATCGGGTCTCAACAAGCACCAATAGAAGAAACTTGGCAACAGAAGATGACTTTAGGGTTGCTGGTTCTAGGGATCAGGTAGCTAGAACAGGCACGACTGTTGAGTTTGTCTCGAGAGACAGGATCAAGAGACCTCCGGGGCTCACCAAAGAATCACTCAAGTCTCTGCGTGTTGAGTTTTTCAATAACTTAGAGGCAATCCCGAGTGTACCGCTGGAGTGTAGCATTTGTCTGGAGGCTTTCTTGAATGGAGACAAGCTGTTTTGTTTACCGTGTGGGCATAAGTTCCATGATGTCTGCCTCGTCCCCTGGGTCCGGACTTGCGGAGACTGTCCTTATTGCAGAGCATCTATATCCAAAAACAGTTCGTAATTTTGTATTGACTAAGGTTGTCGATCTGCTCCCCAGAATGATTTTGTTTGTGTGACTATATTAGAAGCCAGATAGATGCATCTAATGTACTTGCCTGTTCCCTGTCGCAACCAGCTATACATACACTACTAATACAAAGTAAAGTGACTGCAATTACACGTTTAATTTGTGTATATATATATATGGACTCTTTGGAGTTATTTTAAGTACACAGTTTTGCATAATATTACTCCGTCACTGTTGAGAGGGAAAATAGGGTGCTGGAAATATGTTGTGCACTATTTTGATTATCGCATGTCGGATATTGCCCTATTTGGTAAAATAGCTTATCACTCAACTTTAGCGTGTATCGGATAAAATGTAAAAATAAATAAATAAATAGACGTATTATTAACACTCCCACAAAGAGCAGTTGATGCTCGAACTGCACACCAGGGAGTTTTTGGTGAGACCCACAACAAAATTTTCTCCTACAAATTCATTTTATTCTCTTTCATCATATCACTCCTCTTCCATCACTATATGTTGTTAAGTAATGCATAAATATGATATGTTACATAAGTTATACTTTGAAATGGTGGACAAGTGACTGAATCTCGTTTATGAAAGTGTATAGTTTTCTTATCTTAGCTTATGTGGTTTGTGAGCTATTATAAATGAATGGATTTATCTAATGCAAGTTTCCTTGTTACAAAAAAAATTTAAAAAAACATCATAAATAGTAAAAGTAATCTTGATAGCTTTCATTGCTTGCAATATGAATGCTTATCTTATGTGGTTTGATAGCTTGCTTGCAATATATATAATGAAGTAAAGATTCAAATGCGTACCACTTAATTCTGGCCATACAGAGCTCACTGCATGCTCACCACACCATTTGTAGAAAGTATCAATTCAACCAACCATCTTACCTTTAAAAAAAAAAAAAAAAAAAAAAAAAAAAAAGCCTATGCAACCACCTTCAACACCCATGCCCAACAACGTAACATCACCACCCCGGGCTTCTTGAATTTCAGTGGATTTTTTGAAATGTTTATTTGAATGTAAGTACGCGAACTTGACATGTAAATTCATATAATTGAAATAGTTAAATATATTATTTAATAGTTATTATGTTTTTCATAAAAGAAGTGATAGAAACTTAGATTTTTTTTTTTTATTTTGGATTTTAGCTAAATTATATGGCTATTTTAGTTGACTTGATTAAAAATGGGAGAAGCATGATTTTCTGGACGAAGGTAATTTTCTCATCCAACCAAAGCAATAATCCAAGTTCCATTGCATTGGAAACCGCTTTCCTATCAGCATGCATTATATTAAATCCATAAAAGACAACAACTACCTCTTCATATACACCATATATTTATAAGTTTTAACAAATTGAAGTGCATGTGTTTCGCAATGAGCATAAAAGTTATAAGAAATTAAATTAAATGTAGTTTTTATCCAAAAATTAAAGAAAAAAAAATGGAGAAGAAAGAGAAGCAGATCAAAATGCATGCAGACCGGAGGCCTGGGAAAGGGACAAACTACTGATGAATAAGATCAGAGAGGTGATGAGGATTTTGGTTTTATCCTTGGCATTATATTGTTTTATATATATGGAGATTTGTCATCTTGATTGCGCCAACACGTACACATTCTTCATTTCTCATCGTATACTATCCCACCATTCAGTCCATGTATGTATAGTACCTCTCTGATCCATCTCTCTCTTTTTTCTCAAATCCTATTTTTTGTGGCAGATATTTAATTTGCCGCCTATTGTTATCCAATCATTACAAAAGTTGATTTTTTTTTTTTTTTTTTTAATGTACCTAAGTACCTAACAGGCGGCATTGTTAACTGCGAATTCACTAAAACCGAGTTAAGTCCAGCATGCATATGGGACGTACATTTATTATGGATGGTGATATATCAACAAGAAAATATACTATAACTAAAATAGTTAAATATATTATTTAATATTTATTATGTTTTTCATAAAAGAAGTGATAGAAACTTGAAATTTTCTTTGATTTTAACGTGGGTGAATTACAAGGGGCATTTAAATTCACTTGGTTAAAAATGAGAGAAGCATGGTTTTTTGAGCAAAGGTATATTTTCGTCTAACCAAAGCAGCCGTCCATGTTCCTTTACATTGGGAATAGTTTTCCTGTCAGCATGCATTAGAGCAACATTATCAGTTGGAGATATTAAGGGAAGAATGTAAGACTGATTAGAAAAGAGAATGAGGGAGGGGAGAGAAAAAATAATAATTTTAAAATAATAATAATAAAAATAATATAATAATCATAGTCAGGCGTGCTCACGTGCAGTGCACGTGCCCGCTAGGTGCACTCGTGACAGCCACAATTGACTGTCACGTTTGGCTCCTTTTCCTACTGGGTCCCACCATGCTGCCATTCTCCCAACCATTGCAGATGCTTGATGCTTCTCAATTTTCTCTCACCTTGTTATCTCTCATCCATGTAAGCATTAAATATATTAAAAGTAGTGCATTCTCCCCCCTTGCTCACACCTGGTGTGGATGCTCTTATATTAGATTGATAAAAGACAACAATGTAATTACCTCCTCATATACACCATATATTATAAGTTTAATTTTAGAGATAATATTCATTTTGGTCCTTCGACTATTAGGTAATGCGCAATTTAGTCCCAAACTATTAAAAGTACCCAATTTAGTCATCTAAGTTGTAAAATCATACCCAATTTGGTCCTCCGTTACAATTGACATCCATCCACCGTTTAGAGAGGGACAAAAACGTCCTTTTATCTAAAGTCGAGGGACCAAAATGGGTAGTAACTATTATCATTTAATAGTCGAGAGACCAAAATGGGTATTAACTTTATTATTATTATTATTATTGGTACAATGTCTCCTGCCACTATATTACTTCCTATTATTTTAAAAATTAAAATGTACCACAAAAAAAAAACATGCGCAGTCTTTCTTTCATTTTCTTTCTTTCCTGAGGCTCACAAAAAAAACCACTATCTCTCAAGAGTTCAAAATTCACAAAGATCTATCTCTTCTTCTTTTCTATCCTCCAACACATAATCACGTCAACTCCCTACATAACTTACCAAAACGACGTCGTTTTGGGAGGCGCGAGGTGCACAGTGCTATACGCGCCGTAGTGCAGGGTATAACGATCATATATATATAATTTCGGTTAGGCTACAATTTCGAACCGAATTAACCGTTAACCAAATTTTAAAAAAACTTTTAACCATTAACCGAGCCAAAAAAGTTTTGTTAAAAACAGTTAACCTAACTTTGTCGGTTCGGTCAGTTAACCAAACATTTATTGAAGTTTGCACACCCCTAATCAAGACAAGCATGTGGATCTTACGTACTTTTACAAGATTTCTTTCAAACAATCTAAGTCTGTCCAAAAGCACAAAGACCACACTAAACAAATTAAAAATTGGGAAAATCTTAGAAAATACATCATATGATGCCGTAATGGCTATGTCAACTCTAGGCAGCAAGCCCCAGCAAATAACAATTACTCCGCATAAAGTTAGATTCAAGAGGATAATAATTAGTACACTCTAATCATATATGTTTATTTAAGTAAAAGAAAAGAAATTGAGATTTCATTAGTTCTTTTTTTTTTTCAATTAACGCACACCACATTTAATGACAGACAAACAGACCTTAGTAGTTTACATTTTTTTTTTTTTGAATAATACTATAGGAAGTAATATGGTGGTAGGAGACATTGTCCCAATATCAAATATAATAAAACAACAACAACAACAACAACAATAATAATAAAGTAAATACCCATTTTGGTCCCTCGACTATTCGATAATAATAGTTAATACCCATTTTGGTCCCTCGACTTTAGATGAAAGACGTTTTTGCTCCTCTCTATAACGGTGGATGGATGACAATTGTAATGGATAATCAAATTGGGTATATTTTACAAGTTAGAGGACTAAATTAGGTACTTTCAATAGTTTGAGACTAAATTGCGTATTACCTAATAGTCAAGGGACCAAAATGGGTATTATCTCTTAATTTTATTATTATTATTATTATTAATTATTATTAATAACGAGAGTTTTAACAAGAGATCAATTTGGGGTCCAATTTATTTTTAAAAGAAAATTTAAAAAAAAAAAACGTAGCGACACCCCGCTACGTGCTATAAAAGGTCACCATTTTATCATCTCATACACCATATCATAGCAGGCCATTCGCATTTTGACCTTTCATTTTCCCCAAGACACACACTCTGATCTCTCTCTCGCTTAGCTTTCATTTCCTGCAATGGCGATTGAATGTATGACCACAACACCAACTCGTAGTGATGCTCCTAAAGCAGCAGCGGTGGTTTTCGACTCCAGCGTTCTCCGCCACGAGACCAACATCCCAACCGAATTCGTGTGGCCGGAGCACGAGAAGCCGGGCAGCTACGCCGCCCCAGAATGCCCGGTCCCGGTCATCGACCTCGCCGCCTTCCGTTCCGGCGATCCCGCGGCCGTCGCGGAAACTCTTAAGCTGGTGAACGAAGCCTGCAAAAAACACGGCTTCTTCCTGGTAGTGAATCACGGAGTTGACCCAGATCTCATCTCCGACGCTATCCGCCACATGGACCGCTTCTTTGACTTGCCTCTCTCCTCCAAGGAAAAAGCTCTCAGAAAGGTCGGCGAGAGTTGCGGTTATGCCAGCAGTTTCACCGGCAGGTTCTCCGCCAAGCTTCCATGGAAGGAAACTCTCTCTTTTAGATATTCCGCCCAGAAAGAATGTTCCCACATAGTGGAAGAGTATTTCCAGGAATCATTGGGTCAAGATTTTGCTCATATCGGGTAGGTTCCTATATATTCTTCTAAACTTTACCTCTAGGGTAGGTTCCTCTCTCTCTCTATATATATATATATGTATGTGTGTGTGTGTGCCAGCTTGGTCATTCCTTAATGTGTGGTCGGTCCAACAGCACCATTAAGTATGTAAAAACGCATCAATTAGGTTAAAAAATGTACAACAATAAAAAATAAAAATGCATCACAAATTGTACGTTTTCGAATATTATTGTGCGTTTATGCATACCTAATAGTGTGTTTTGAGGTCATAATGTTACTATTGGAAATTATGAAATTTTCGACCATCTGAAAGTAATCTTAAATCAAGTCGAAAGCAAAAAGTGGTTGGAAATAGCAACAAATATTTTTCCGAATATCAAAAGTGGTTGGAACAAAACTTTGGACTTGATTTAAGATCAGGTGGTCGGAAATTTTATAATTTCCAGTAGTGTGTATCTAATGATGCATTTTTTTAGTGTTCTGGTGCGTTTTTTTGTTGTGACTTTTCTAACACTATTGCTACTATTTGCATACCAATAGTAAGGCATATATATATATATATATATATATATATATATATATATATATATATATATATATATATATAATTTAATTGCCTAATAAGATATGATGAACATACATACATATACATACAGGGGGGTTTATCAAAAGTACAGCAATGAGATGAGCAAACTGGCTCTGGAGATCATGGAAGTGCTGGGGATGGGTTTAGGCGTAAACCGAAAGCATTTCAGTGAATTCTTCCAAGAAAACGACTCCGTAATGCGACTTAACTACTACCCACCATGCCAGAAACCAGAGATCACCTTGGGGACCGGACCACATTGTGACCCAACATCCTTAACAATCCTCCACCAAGACAACAGCGTGAATGGGCTTCAAGTATGTGTGGACAACGAGTGGCGTTCAGTGTCCCCCAGCCCCAACGCTTTTGTCGTTAACATAGGCGACACCTTCATGGTACCTACAAACGTACTAGCTTGCTTCTATATTCCATCAATCCAACTAACTAACTAACTAACATATTTGCAGGCACTTTCCAACGGAATATACAAAAGTTGCCTGCACAGGGCGGTGGTGAACAGTACGATTACCAGGAAGTCCATGGCTTTCTTCCTGTGCCCTCACGAAGATAAGGTGGTGACGCCACCACCAGAACTGGTGGACTCCACTCATCCTAGACTATATCCAGACTTCAAATGGCCGACCCTCCTTGAGTTTACCCAGAAGCATTACAGGTCTGACACCGACACTCTACTCAGCTTCTCTGCATGGCTCCAACAAAACCAAACCCCCATTGCAACCCAGCCCTAAGCACCGCAGCAGCAGTAATAATTTTCTATTATCATATCCCCGCTCTATCCCTACTTTTCTACCTACCTTAATTTAAAAAAAAAAAAAGAGAAAAGAGATGAGGATGATGATGTCAGCGCCAAAAAAGTATGAATTAATGGAAATGCCGCTTTTTATTTCGTATTTTGTTATGAAGACAAAGCGTTATCCATATTTAATTTGTTTTATTTCAACTTTATTATATTCATTCAATTCTCCGCTCTTTTGCTACTACTAAACGTACACAAAGTCATCCCAATCGCTCGTGTGCATGTATTGGGTGCGTTAGTTGAGGTTAATCATTAACCCTTAAATTCTTAATGCATGCTCGACAATAGAGTATATATTAGTTCAAGCTATACCTAGCCCCAATGGCGGATCCAGAAAATAATGTGAGTGGGGGCGTGCTTAACTTGAGATCTCACTTCTAAGAAAAAATTGCATCTTCCACAATTTTGTTTGAAGAATTTGCTTAGACAAGAAGCTAAAACATATAAAATGTTCTAGAGGTGAATTTTGAACCTTGGACACTCCATTTCATATTCAAGATTCAACCCATTGATCTACTAAACACTTTAGTGATTTATCTATGTACTAATATATTAGTAGAGCGGGTTGAGGGGGGCAGTGGCCCCCACTGCCCCCATTGTGGCTCCGCCACTGCCTAGCCCAAGTTATTTATGAGAAAAGACTTATTAGAGTTGTGCTATATCTCTATATAAAATAAAGCAAAATCAAGGTGAAATTTTTTCCCCTCAATTTGGTGTATTTGAGAATTATGAAATATCAAGGGTTTAGGAACTTCATAATCATCATAAATAATTAAATAAAGATTGAAAGAAAATCAAAGCGAATAATAATCAAAAAGAGTTTAGTGGAGTAGAGAGTAATTCACAAAATTAATTTGAGTAATAATTGTTGTTGATCCATAATTGAAAATTAACATTACAAAATTTATGTTATGTTTCTAAGAGCATCCCCATTAAGAGATAGTTCACAATTTTTTAGGAAAAAATGTCAACATAAAAGAGAGAGAGAGGGAGGAGAGAGGAGGAGTAGGGTGCTCTGCAAAGACCCAAGTTTTTTTTCAGAGTTTGTGCGTCTTACCAAGAGAGAGAAGGAAGTTTGCGGGTCAAATTTGTTTTAAGCTTTGTTTTTTTTTTTAATTTTTTTTCACATATTTTTCTCTCTCCTCTATCTTATTTGGCACCTAAAAACTTGTGTTAAAAAACTTATCTATTGAGGATGCCCATATACGCATGTACTATCTCTACACCAATTGCAAATGACATTAGCAAAGTATGAATGCATTAATTGTGTTCACATTTACTGCAATAAATAAAACATTCTTACAAATTTCAATAACCACATGTTTCAATATTTATATGAACATCTACACATACTTCAACATTATAAATAAGTCATCATCCACAACCAATATAATACTACAATTATGTTTTGATCGTGGTTGAAATTAGGAGGATGATCGTGACTAGAATAGGGGAAAAATATTTTTGGGTGCTTAGATCTCCTATAGAACTTTATACCGTGCGATCTAGGGAAGATGAATATTTCTGGGAGCGGAAGAACTCAGGTAAGTTTTTCTGTTTCCACAGCCATTAATTTCTTTACTAATTTAAAGTATATCAAAAATTTAATTGATAAATTTGTTAAATTAATAATAGTTTGTGCATCGCACTGGAAAATTACTAGTACTTGTATAAGGAAGGTTGGTGTATTTGACCTATCCTCACTTGGAAATTCTCGATCAATAACCTACGTTTTAATCACAATGGCAGGCAGTGTTTGTTAAAACTATCCTATATTCGTAGCTTTGGGACGTTGTTGGCCTTGAATATATAAGAAAAATTATATGGTTACACGCATGCATATCAGGGCCGGATTTTAGGCTGTGCAAGCTGGGCTACCGCACAGGGCCCCCAATTTTAGAGGGGCCCCAATATGTATTTATTGTATTTTAACTTGGAGGTCAAGGGTTCAAAACTTGCATGTATTGATTTTAAAAATTGTGATTTTGGTAAGGCCACATTTATTTACCAGTACAGGGCCACAAAAACTTAAAATACGGCCCTGATGCATATCTATGTTATATTAGCTAGGTTTCTTGTAATTAAAGGTTACAAGCTGTCTTAACCTATAAATATAACCTCAAAATATTAAAAAGATACAAATTAAAATTCCACTTAATTAAATACATTATATTATAGTTATTGGCTCACCTTGAGTAACCAACAACCTTATTTTACTTACATTATACTGTTTTTATCGGAAGCTTGACATGCAGAATCAAGAAGGAGAAAAGAAGGAAAAAAATAATTTTATTGTTATATTCTTTTTGTTACAAAGATTACCAGTAACCTCACATCTTACTTTATATAATAGCAAAATGTTTTTTGCCAATCAATTTCCCGCCTAAATAAAATTGCATCATTTTAAGGTATATAATGCAGCATACTTATCTATTTTCAATACATGTTAATCTACAATTATTGTTATTTAATGATGAAGCAGGTAATACATTCCCGTATTTTTAAGTTAACATTTTATTATATAAATTAATTTTATTGTATATTGTATATTGTTTGATTTCCTAATTTTTAAATTTTTTTTTTATAAAAATGTGTGTGTGTGTGTGTGTGTGTGTGTATATATATATATAAATAATTATTTTAATGTACACTTTTTAAATCTCATGTGGTATGTTATAACACAATTCTTTATAATATATGCTAACAGTATGTGATGTTCGATATAACAACTAATTTAGTATTGTTAAAGAAAAATACATTTCAGAATAAGTTTTAATTTCATGATTAATATTTTATTTTATTGTTTTTAAAATATTATCAATAATAAAGTTACTTAAATTTTATGCCGTGCATCGCACGGGGCAAAAACTAGTATATATAATGAAGATAAAAGTATTGTAACTGAAGTCCTTTATTCTATACTGCTAGAATTTAGGAATGAATGGATGCATGATTTTTGGAGTCTAATATTTAGGAATGAATTGCTGCATGATTTTTGGAGTCTTAGGAATGAATTGTTGCATGATTTTTGAAGTCTAATAGTTTTTACAATCTTTGATTACATTATTGTGCTTAGCTTAAGATTTATGTTGGTTCGTGAATGAATAAATTAAACATCAACAAATTAAAGTGCATGTGTTTCGCAATGAGCATGTAAGTTATGAGAAATTAAATCTGTTTAAATTGTAGTTTTTATCCAAAAATTAAAGAAAAAAAAATGGAGAAGAAAGAGAAGATCAGAATGCATGCAGGAGGCCTGGGAAAGTGACAAACTACTGATCTGATAAATAAAAATAAGGGAAGTTAGAATCTATGCATGCATATAGGATTATTGATAAACGTATGATAGATTTAATTAATTTGGGGTGGCCCGAATTATTAAACCCCATAAAGAACCTGAATAGTAAATAATTAAGTAGATGAAACGATGTCGTAAGGTTGCGGGATCATATATTGTATTATGATAATAGGCATGCTATTACAACGATTGCTTATGACAAAATATGTAAGATAATGAGAATGTGTCTTAATGAGACAAGATAGGAGATTTTTATACAAGCCAAATCCCCAACTTCACCCCCTAAACCGGGGTAGTTAGATCTCACGCTTTGACCGCGTCCCCACTTGGGACCGGGTCCAAAGCGTGGCCGAGTTCGGCATGGCCAAGCTCAATATGGCCGAGCTCGGCCCAGTCGAGCCCAACACGGACCAGTCGCCTAGCTGAGGCCCTTGTGGCCCGAGCTCGTCACAGGCAGGGCTCGGCCTATGGCCGACACGACCACGGCCCATTGGAAAATGAAGTCTTCAAATTTGAGGAAAACAAAATCCTTGGTTGGACCAAGGATTTTGTTTTCCATGGAAGATGGAAAGAAAAAGTGAAAAGATTATTTTTCATTGAAGATGGGAAGGAAAAGTCAATAGAATTAGTATTCCCAGTAATTCTTTTTCCACCAACCAAACAATGAAATTCATCTTCTTAGTAATTATTTTTTCATGGAATTCTAATTTCACTTCCCTTAAAATATTTTCCGCTAACCAAACGAGCCCTTATTTCTTCTCCACTTCTTCATTCTCCTTCCGCTATACCCACTTCTTCATTCTCCTTCCTCATCTCCTCTCTCCCGCAGCATCATCCCCTCCATCTCCGCCAGCAGTCCATTGTACGCCTCCATCTCTCTCCATTCCCGGCGACCTCCGTCACAGTTCCATCCCCACCATCCAGCGAATTCCTTCGCCCACTGGGTCTTTTGGTAACCATTTTGTGCTTTAGTGTTTGATATGCTTCCTTGATCTCTGTTTTACTTGTTATAAAGCCATGGTTGAATGCTTCTTTCTTCTATTGTAGTTGATAAGCCCTCTAGGCTCTAGTTCACCACTTCACCCACTGTACGTCCTTCAATTTTGATCTGGTCACCCCTCCAGTGTTCAGAATATTATGTTTGAGAGTACTTAAATTGGGTGCCAGATGATGAATGCATATTCTAATGCTTCATTTCTTTCCAGGAAAATAAAACTAAATATCTATTACAAATACCCCCATGTTTTTTTTTTCCATAAAGATACATCATATGTGACTTCTGTTGTAAACTTGATAAAGGATGTTATCATTCATAATTCATAAATGATTTGTGCTTCAGAAAAGTATAATACCTCTGCTATAAACTTGAAATAATTATATGTGTTCCATGTTTATAATTTGTGAAGCCACATGTATAAGTGTTTTTCAAGATACATATATGTATAAAATTCTTGATTCAAACTAAATTATCTTTATTAATTATATATTTAATTTAATTTATTTTTATAGGTGCTATAGATCAATTGACTAGAGTTGCATTGCCGCTTTTCACCCTGCACGGGAGGTAAGGTGTTTCTATTTTTTTTTATTATTTATTTTTTTGAAAAAAAGGGGAAGGGTGACCCTACGGACCTACTACTCATCATCGGGAGTAGTTAACTTAGCCCTATCATTCTCATTAATTTTATCCGTGCATTACACGTGCAGCACGCACACTACACAAATATATATGAATTAATTGAAGGAATCTAATTTATACTACACACTATTATACATTGCTACTTGATTGCTATACTTGCGTGGCCTTTCATTAAATCTTGCCCACACCTAGACTCCAAGCCTTAACTCTTCCTGTCCCACCCTCCTCCCTCTCTTTCAACCAGGGACGGAGGTAGCCTGGGGGCAGCTGCCTCCACTATCCAAAATCATACAGCCCCAAAACGACGTCGTTTTGGGATTGTAATATATATATATATATATATATATATAATTCCTCTTATTCCTTTAGGCTCCAGTCGTTCACGCAGTGCGCAAAGCTCCTTTTAGTGCTTCTCTCTCTACTGGTCTACGTCGTTGCCTCGCTGGAGTGTGGAGTACTGCAGTCGCCGCTTCTTCCCGTCAAACTCGCCGTATGGTAGCTCTCGAGTTGCATTGTCGCTTTTCACCCCGCATGGGAGGTAAGGTGTTTCTATTTTTATTATTATTATTATTTTTTTTTTTTGGGAAAAAGGGGAGAGGGTGACCCTACGGTCCTACCACTCATCGGGAGTAGTTAACTTGGCCCTATCATTCTCATTAATTTTATCCGTGCATCACATGTGCATTGCACGTGCACTGCACGGATAATTGGGCAATTATTTGTTCGAATTTAAGCAAGGATAACATCAAAAAACATAATTTATACAATTCATTTCATCAATTGCACTATATAATATTAGTTGTTATAATTTATATTTGTATATTGATCAAAATATTCTTAAAGATTATAACAAATCTATTCCGTGCAACGCACGGGTAAAAATACTAGTAATAATAATAATAATAATAATAATAATAATAATAAGGTGGTAAAATGTAATTGTGCACAAAGAAAAAGCCAAAAGACATATTATGGAATAAATTACAATAATAATAATAATAATAATAATAATATTATTATTATTATTATTATTATTATTACTATTATTATTATTATTATTGAATAAATTACAATTATAACAATAATAATAGTGTGCATAGGTTTTGAACTTTAGACCTCAAAATTAAAATATAATAAACACATGTTCCTACCATTTCTTCATGAAGCATTTTAAATTTAATTGAAAACTTTTAATTTTTATTTCTAAACTAACTAGGTAAAAATAAAATATTAAACTTCTAAAATTTGGGACCTGTGCGGTAGCCCAGCTTGCACAGCCCAAAATTCGGGCCTGCACCTCTCATGTGTCAACGCTCTCGTCTTCTATCCCTACGACGAACTTCTACAATAATGTCTTCTTGGAAAACACAGAATAGTAATCCTCATTAGCTACATCGACAATTAAATTATACTCACCTAAATTATCCAGTGACATGTTATTGATATATATGCGTCAATGCTGCATCTCGATTTGATGGTCAGATCGGCTAAAGTGGTCGTCAACTCTAACAAAATATTCCGGAATCCATGCGTCTAAGATGACGACGTCAATTCAACAACAACAACAACAACAACAATACCATTTTGTTCGATTGCATATTTGACATAACCCGTGTACAGATCATGAGTTGGGTTACTGATAACGCGTTTGTCATATCCGATCCGTCGTAAAACCTTACTTTGTAATCATGTGTAACCTCAATGTTCTGGATAGGGATCATCGCGACATAGTGATTATGTCGATTATCTCACAAGTCAATGCATTCTCCATAATACACACTCCAATCTCTAATATTTATGCTCGAACGACCGTCTATGGCATGTAAATCTCGCCTATATGACACAGCTTGCGGGACGTCCTGCACACCCCTAAACTGTCGATAGGGATGGCAATTTCAATCCGACCCGTGGATATCCACCCGAATCCACTCCGCATGGATCGGGTTTTTTTGGGTGATGGTGGGTGGTGGGTCGGGGGTGTGTCTTAAAAAAGAAAACCCGCGGTGGGTCGGGTTGAATTCAGGTTCTATGTACAAGATCCGCCTAGAACCCCACCCGACCCACCATGTGTGTGTGTATATATGTATAATAGTAAAATAAGTACTAGTATGTAGTTATTTATAATAGTTTATATAACTTCGTGTATCTTTTTACTATTTTTTATATCAAAATTACTAAGTTTTTTTTTTAAAAAATAACAATTTAGTTTTTATATTTAAATATTTCCATTATTTATGTTTTAGTATCACTAATGGATTTTATTTTTTTATTATGTGTAAATAATTTAAATATTATTTTTTGAAAAACATAATAAGATGATAAGTGGTGGGTACCCGTAGTGGGCACCCGCACCCGGTGGGAGTGAGAGTGGGTTCTGAAAAAGTCCACCCGATGCGGGTTGGAGGTGAGTGTGGGTGGAAAAAATATAAGGTGGGTCGGGTGATAGATGTAGTCCTCCCTGACCCACACCCGACCCATTGCCCTCCCTAACTGTCGATAAAATTGATCGGAGGATAATTGAGACAAGACTATTTGAACATTTAAATTTGAGTAGTCAAAAATCAATATTCAAAGTTCAGCCTAGCATAACTAAAATAAAATTGAAATTGAAACTCGACCAAACTTTTAAACTCAATAAAATTTTGTTATTTTTATACACAAAATGGTAATATAAATATTTTACAATTAAATATCATAACAAAATTTAAAATTATATTTCAATTATGATTATTTTATAATATATAAATATATTAACTAAATCTATACTATATAAAAATGTAGTAGCTAAATTTATAAAATTATATATAAAAAAAAAATACGATGACAATTTGATTATTTTTTGTATTTAGAAAAATACAATAGCATGTAATTGAATCATTTTAACTTAGCCAAGCACCTTGTGTTCAGATGGCATGTAGTGACCTCTCCCATGTGGGAGGTTATGAAATCGAGCTTCAGTAGAGGCGTTGTTGGCTCTTTGTACTTCATTAATTTGAGAAAGTATATTTGAATAGGTACTACAATGTAATAGAGTCAAAAGCATTAAAAAAAACAATCATTTTGACTTGTTTTGTTATTTGGATCATTCTTGGCAACCAAGTAGGATATAAATCAACAAAACATTACGGCCCTGTTTGGTAAAAAAATTGGCCTATAAGCCAATTTTGACTTATTTGACCACTATTAATTATTTGATTTAGTTAAAATATAAATATAAGTGTTTGGTTAATTAGATTTTTGCAACTCTAAAATGTTAAAATTCAAAAGCTACTCCAAACAACTTTTTCAATTGACTTTTTCATAAAAGAAATTATACCAAACAACTATTAGCTAACAGCTAAGAGAAAATTTCAATTTTGATCCACTGACTATTGGGGTTGTGTTAATTGCAACACTTGACTTTCAAAAATGTTAATTTAGTACCTTGACTATGCAATTTCTATCAATTTTGGTCACGCCGGCTAAATTACCGGCCAAATCTCACCGAAAAATTTAATAGGTCAATTTATGAGGGTATTTTAGTAATTTTACTCCTCTTTTTTCTTCTCCAATGATATTCCCAATTTCCGGCGATGACTTCTTTCTTCTCCTATGTGCAAGATTGTCTTCGCCATCTATCGCAACATCCACGGGATCGAATCGCCGATGTTCAGCACCCCATTGAGCAACAACAGCCCGTTTATCATCTTCTTGAACTCATTGGGGCTCACAATTGCTCCTTCTGACTCATTCAAGTAACTCCTCCCGAGCACCATCCGGCTAATCACGTTCAAGCTGAGGGTGGACAAGTAGTCCTTCAAGAGAATTGGTTTATGGGCAGAGGATGCGGTGTAGAGCTCGCGGAGGATGGATTTCAATTCCTGGGATCAGATGTACTCGTAAGAATCAAGGCGCTTGGCGCTGAATAGCTCCATGAGGCACATTCGCCGAGCCTGCCGCCAGTACGGGCCGTACGGGGACCAAGTAATATTGGAATAATTATACGTTGTGTACTTTCCGACGGCAGTTTTGGGTCTGATAGAATAACACATTACAAATGAACAGATTGATCAGAATATGAGTTTGCATTTTCAATTCCCAGGAAATTATCTTACTATTACCTGTCAACGAAGTTGATGTCCATGGTTTTAAGGAAAGTCTTTGCCATTTCTACGGAGGACCCAACCACCACTGGGAAGGACCCAAACTGGAGCTGCATGATGGGGCCGTATTTGAGCGACAAATCGTGGATGGAAGGGTGAGGGAGGGCGCCGATGAGGTTCAAGTTTCCGATGATGGGCCATGGCTTTGGACCAGGCGGTAGATGAAGCTTTCTCCGGCGGAGATGTTTAGCGAGGAGGAGAAGTGCAATGGTGGACAGCCAGGCTGCTGCATAGGCAATCCAAGTTGGGGCCTCCATGGAACAATGAAATCAAAACAATAATTTAAAGAAGATGAGAGGATTGAATTGAATGGGAGGAGAGGAAAGCGAGGATGTTGCGATAGATGGCGAAGACAATCTTGCATATCGGAGAAGAAAGAAGTCATCGCCGGAAATTGGAAATATCATGGGAGAAGAAAAAAGAGGAGTAAAATTACTAAAATACCCTCATAAATTGACCTATTAAATTTTTCCGGTGAGATTTGGCCGGTAATTTGGCTGGCGTGACTAAAATTGATAGAAATTGCATAGTCAAGGTATTAAATTAACATTTTTGAAAGTCAAGTGTTGCAATTAACACAACCCCAATAGTCAGTGGACCAAAATTGAAATTTTCTCTAACAGCTAATTTACCAAACACTTTTATACAACAGCTAATGTTATCAACTAGTTATACCCTCTAATTAACACAATCAGCTAACAGCTAACAGTTATAAGCTAACAACCATTTACCAAACAGGGCCTATAAGGTGACACCTCAATATCAGTAACCTAACGTTTATTTGTAATAACAAGTCAAAACAATTTAGGATGTCCAGTGTTTGATTCATGAGTTTACACACTAACTAGCTAGAAATGAGAATAAAAATCAGAGTTAGTGCTTGGTTGATAACTTTTTAAAAAATAACTATAGGATTTGATTACCTATTAAATTAAAAACTCAATTCCCTAATTAAAAATGGGTATCATTCCATCTTATTGGTAATCTGATTTTTAAGTTTGGATTAATACTTATAGATTTTTGTTTTGATTTTTTTTTTTTCATATTAGTGCTTTGGATGTCATTATATTATGATCAATTGCCTTAATTTTTTTATTTTTTTTTGTACTTTTAAAACCTTTATTCCCATTATAGAGTCATACATAACCAAAAATCAATATTGTTAATTAATCAATCCGATTCCACCATACTACCAAACATGCAAATTACTTTCACCAAAACCCATTACCATTACCAAATATTTGATTCACATTTCGATTGCAATTTCCATGTGCGAATCAAACACACCATCAAGTTTAGGGGTGTATGTGTTTGGAGTTTATTGTAATTTGATTATCTAATTGTACTTTTTAATAGCTCTAGAGCTTATTCGATCTGCATTCCAATATTTAAAACAACTTAATTAGAATCATTCTTTTAAAAGGTTGAACTCCAAACGACAGTGCATTTGGGAGGGTGTAAATAAACTACAGACCTGAGGTAGCTCCCACCGCTGGTGAGACTCAATCCATGATCATTCTTTCAAAGTTTCACATCTATGACCAATTGAGCTTCTCATGCAGGTACTGGTCATATGTTCAAGTCAAGTATTAAGATGTTTGAATTTAGCTCAATTGAATTGGTTACTCAAACTATTCAAGCTTGAGCTTAAATTGGTAGTAAACAAATTAAATTGAATTCAAACATTTGTTGGATTGGAAGTGGGGTTTTCCTTTTTTCTTTTTAACGTTTGTTTATTAATATTGTAATTCAATTGTTGTAAGTTAAGAAAGACTAGAAGTAAAGAGATCGATCCTTGACTTTAGATATGTGCAGTTTTAAATCTTCAAGCCCTCATTTTTGAAGGTGTCAATAATTCAACAAGAAAATTAGTCACTATGTCTGACGGTGAAAACATTGAGTTACACTAAAAAAAAAAAAAATAAAGGGGGTGGGGGAGGGGGGGAGGGGGTGGGGTTGAAAGACTAGACGTAAAGGGATCGATCCTTAACTTGTATGTATAGTTTTAAATTTCCAAACCTGTTCCATCTTTAGAGGTGTCTACAATTCAATGAGGAGATTAATCACTATGTTTGACGGTGAAAATCTTGAATTACTCTAAAAAAAACAAAAAACAAAAAAAACAAAAAAACAAAAAAGGAAAAGGGGGAAGGGTGGAAAGACTAGACGTAAAAAGACATTTATGGGTAGAAACTTGAGAGTTTGAGGTAAGAAAATAGCATAGGCAACGATTGTAGGTGAAAAGTGATACCATTTGAAATCGTATACCTACCTATATCATTGTTTCCAATCATTTTTAGTAAGTTCAAAAATGTTATGAACAAGTGGATGCAAATCCCTTATACTCCACGCATGTTTTTGGAAAAACACAACTCCACACTACACATATTCTACATAAGTTATATTACTTTATATACTTTATATGATGACATTGTTAACAATAAACATCTAAAATAATAAGTGCATTTAATTGATATATAATACTTTTTTCCTTTAAATTATTGAATTTGCTCATATAAGAAACAAGTTAAGTTATTTACAATTCAACTTTAGTAATATTTAATTCAATATCATCACTTTATCCTTTTACATTTTTTGTACACTTATATCAACTAATTTAATAATTACTTTCAAAAAAAAAATTTAATAATTAATTTTACCAAAAATTTCAATTTCAATTAGTTATTATTGCCTACATTCATTTTTAACCTTCAAAGAAAGATAAAAAAGAAAAGATTAGGCGAATTATCGCATATATCGCCATTTCAAATGAGTGGTCATAGATATTCTGATAATTATAATTTGGATTTTTATTGTTATATTCAGTAACGAAGTGGGGGAAGTTGTGATCCAACGTGGGCAGTGTAGGGCCCGCCATATCCACCGACCGTGATCAGACTCTACCAGAAGCATGTTTGGTAGTCGCATACCGCATAGACAACAACGTACACTCCTCACCTTTCTGTTCACGTTTCTCATTTCCTCAATAATCCTTTTTTTTTTTTATGTCCAAACAAAGCCCTATTATATATTCTCTCTTATACTCTTCTCGTAAACACGAAGTATTCATCTCTCAGTACCAGAGTGCGCAGGTTAAGCTGCAGAGTGCGTAGGATAAGGCCAGTTGTGAGGATGGATCGGAAACGCGCTCTTCTCATTGGTTTTGTCTGCGTAATCGTCGCCGGTGTCGGAGGTCAGGCTCCGGCTGCCTCTCCAACCACCACCCCGGCACCGTCAACTCCGACTACGCCCGCTTCTTCTCCTCCGCCAACTACTGCTGCTCCGCAGCCAACCTCCGCGCCTCCTCCTCCACCGGCTACTCCCACCTCTCCTCCACCACCACCGGCCGCTACTCCTGCACCCGCACCTCTCGCCGCCGAGCCGCCTGCTCAGGTTCCTTCTCCAGCTCCTGCTCTAAGCAAGAAGCCGGCATCTCCATCACCATCGCCTCTGGCGCTGAGCCCTCCTTCACCACCAATCGGCGCTCCGGGACCGAGCCTCGGAGCTGTTTCTCCTGCCCCTTCAGCGACAGATCAGGTATGTATTTGCTTCCTAAATTCTAAACATTCAATGTCGTCCATTATCTCGTATTTGCCATTGTCGTCTCAATACCATTAGTTCTACGGTTCTAGTTAAGATGTCTTGTCTGTTTTAGGCGTATAGTAGTACACCTGTGAGTGCGTTTGCTAAGATAAACGCCTTCTCGTCTACTGTGTCTGTGTGGCCTCGCTTTTCAAAACTCGGGGATTACGCTTCCTAGGTTAGGCGTAGGCCAGTCCATGTTAGTTTTATAGGTTACTGTCTATATCTATATGGCTATATGCATACACATTTCAATTCTTGCTTGTTATATACTCTCTATTTTTATTCACCAAAAGAAAATATACTCTCTATTTTTATTCCATTTTGGAATAAGGTTCAAATTGGCCACTGAACATAATCTGAAAATGCAATTAGGCCACTGAACGAACAAAAAGTGCAATTAGGCCACTGAACACTCCAAAAACGTACAATTAAGCCACTGAACTCTCCAAACGTATGCAATTTCACCGGATAGCAGGTTACCATCAATTTTAGCAGGTTACCTGCTTACGTGGCAGCTGAGTTGACATTTTTAATAATTTTTAATAATTAATTTTAATAATAAATTTTATAAAAAATTGAAAGAAAATTAAATAAAAAATAAAATAAAGTCATTTTTATTTTTTTAAAAATTTTTTAAATAAAAATTTATTATTAAAATTTATTAAAAATGCCAACTCAGCTGTCACGTAAGCTGATAACCTGCTAAAATTGAGAGTAACCTGCTATCAGGTGAAATTGCACATTTTTGAAGTGTTCAGTGGCCTAATTACACTTTTTTTTTGTTCAGTGGCCTAATTGCATTTTCAGGTTACGTTCAGTGGCCAATTTGAACCTTATTCCTTCCATTTTTATACATTGATGTGACAATTAAACATTAGTTATCTTCATCTTATATGTTTTTAAAAAAATGTCAAAAATAGAATTCTGGAGTTTGTATTATAATTCAATTATATATATATATATATATATATATATATAATATAGTATAGTATAGAATAGTGGGATGTATTCTGATATAATTTTTGATTGATGGTTTTGTGGATTGTTGTTACAGAGTGGATCAGAGAGGGTGAGATCGATGAAGAAGATTGTTGGAAGCGTTGGCGTTGGGTGGGGTCTCCTGTGTTTGGTGATTTAGATTAGTTGATGTGGTTTACATTTTGGGACTAAAAATATGAATTGGCTGGCCCTAAGCTAGCTTTACTAGCTAGGATTTTTTTGATGGGAGGCACCATTTTGTATTGATGCTTCAATTCAGTCTATGATTACTATTTTCACCACTTTTATCCATTTTCTTGTCTCTCCTATAATTTATATGTTTATCTGCGATATGTTAATCTTTAGTTGTTAACGGAACACTTTATTCTTTTATCAAATTCTACTCAATGTGTATTAAGGTGAATGAAATTCAACTTGAAATTTGTTCAAACTAGTATTTGTCCCGTGTAATGCACGGAAAATATGTTATAAAAATATACCTTATATGAGGTTTATTCATATATAAAATTTTTGTTATTTAATAATTATTATGTGTGAATTCCTATGATAAAATTATGAACATAAATATATTTACAATTAAAATAATATTTAAAGTGGGTGATTACTACAAATCTTAAACTATATTAAAAATTTAGTACATAGTATTTAATATTACAAATTTTTAAGAATTTAGTAAACTACAATAGTAATTGAATTACAATTTTAGAGTCACCACGGATCAAAATTTTTAGACCTTTGAGATTTCTAACTTTAGATGTAGCAACATACAATTGACCTTTAAAGACCAAAATCACAATCTTAGTTCGAATATTGATTTTTTCTTCCAAATACTATCGAATTAAGTGTGTAATCAATAAAAGATGAGAACTAATAATTTGAGAATATAATCTTAATGTTACTAAGCCAACTTCACGTCAATTAAGTTGGAAAGTGTTGTTGGATAGTATCCGATGAATCCACGAATAACGCATCTTTGTCTCCGTAGTCCTTAATATGCACATCAACAATCTTAAATATTAGGTCGCCTAGCTATGCCATATATTAATTTCAAACTTATGAACTTTGGGGTTGCATGCAATAAAAAGTATATTTTAAATATACTAAGAGTACATTATATATGTATGTAAGGTACTTTCAATATAAAAATAATGAATTTTTAATATATTAAAATGTATTTGATATTCATGATCCATAACTTAAAAAAAAACGTGATGGCATTTTTGTAAATAATTGAACATCGAAGTGCAAGTAAAATCACTTACAAGTACACCTACTTTCACCTTAAGTGCATGTAATTTTGCCTTGTTAGCATTCACTTCCCGCAAACATTCATGCACCTGGGTGTGCTTATAACTATAGGTGCAACTATTTATAATTATAGGTGCAACTACTTATAACAATAGGTGCACCTACTTTCACCTATAAGTGCATGCAATTTTGCCTTGTTAACATTCATTGATCTGAGTTCAGCGGGTAGTAATACCCATGAAAACCACCCGCAAACATTCATGCACCTAGGTGCAACTATTTATAACTATTTGTGCAACTACTTAGAACTATAGGTGCAACTACTTATAACTATCGGTGCACTTAATATTGATGCTCAGTGTAAATTTTTACTTGCACCTATAATACATTTTACATGCACTTGTAATACATTTTACTTGCACATCGATGTTCAATTATTTACAAAAATGCCACCATACTTTTTTTTAAAAATCAGTGTTTCTCATCCATTAGATTTGGACACGTGAACGGATAGAATTCATTCCTATTTCGCGCCTGGGCGAAGCATTCGCACCTGCGTGCGATTATATATATATATATATATATATATATATATATATATATATATATATATATATATATATATATATATATATACACTAATAAGAGCCCAAGAGAGTTAGGCCTATAATGGGTAGAAAAAATGGCGGTCAAATTTTTTAATCAAATGAATGGTTCAGATTGATCAGATTTTAACTTTTCCTTAAGATTTCCTAATTTATCCTTAATGAATATGATTATCCGTTAACTTTTCCGTTAAATATTATCTTTTGGGAAAATGGCACTTTTTCCCCCTGAGTTATATACCTATAGCATTTTTACCCCCTAAATTATTGAAGTGGTTGTTTTCCCTCCTGAAATGTTAAATGGACATATTTACCCTTCAACTAAATATTTAATTTATTTTTTTTCTCCAACAAATTATGACCATAATTTGGTTCAAACCAAACAAACACTATAGCAACCAAATCGAAATATTCCAATTACAATTTAGAATCGAAATCCGATATTTAGAGTTTATTAAAATCGTGAACCAGAACGGACGGTTCATGTTCCGAACTGAAAAAATAAAATACATATATTGTTGAATTTATACTATTTTAAAATAAAAAATAAAATTTTAAAATAAAGACGGTTCAAAATCGTGAATCGGATCCAGAACCGCCGGTTCACGGTTCAAGATTCAATTTTTTTGATACATAATTTTAATAAATTGACATTTAAATATTGGATTCTAGATCTGAATTATAACCGAAAACTATTAATTCGATTGCTATAGTATCCGGTTCAATTCAAACCGAACCGTGGTCATCCCTACGTATACGCAATAATTTGTTGGAGAAGTAAAATAAATAAAATATTTACTTTAAGGGTATAAATGTCAATTAAATATATCAGGGGGAAAAATCACCACTTTTAGAATAACTGAGGGGGCTAATGTGCTTACCTAAATAATTGAGGGGGAAAAAGTGCTATGAGTATATAACTCAGGGGTAAAAAGTGCCATTTTCCCTTATTTTTTCCGTTAATTTCTATTAGTTCACCGTTAACTTACTCATTGATTTCAATAAGAAAGGTCTTAGGTTCGAACCTCATCTCAATCAAAGTTGGCATAATTAGTACTCTATTTTACTCTTATTAAATTAAAAATAATAATGTAGTAGCTACAACAAAAAATAATACATATGCATTTCTTTAATTTAGAATTATGTGTCTACAATGTCTTTATTCAAAAAAAAAAATTATCCATTATCAATAAATTAAATAAAAGAAATAATTTCATTAGTTATATTGTATTTATTTTTCTCCAATATAAAAAATTATTTGCATTCAAATTCATCAATTGATTATATTCGCTACATTGTCCCTACAATGTCTTTATTAAAAAAAATATTCATTATCAATAATTTAATTAAGAGAAATAATTTTATTAGTTATATTGTCTTTATATTTCTCAAATGTAAAAATTCTTTACATTCAAATTCATCAATTGATTACTACATTGTCTATTATCTTTTTTTTGTGCACTGTTTTTAAATTAAATATCAAAGTTATAATACAAAATAATGCAATATATTTATTTACCAAGTATTTTATTAATACTATGAAAAAATTTAAAAAATATAATTAATAAAGCCAATCATATTAACTACTTAGAATTTGTTGACAAAGAGAGTATTCAAATCACACAACAAATTGAAGTGAGAATTACATCGCAACGTCCTTGTTTGACAATAGCTGTTAGCGGATTATATTAGCGAATTTGACCAGCGAATTATATCAAACGGTTGGTAAAAAGATATTTGAAAAAATTAGTTGTTTAGATTAACATGTAAAATGATCTAAGAGTATACATATATTTAATAATAATAATAATAATAATAATAATAATAATAATAATAATAATAATAATAATAATAATAATAATGATAATGATGACTATAATCTACTATCTACTATCTACTATACTAATAAGAGCCCAAGAGAGTTAGTCCTATAATGCGTAGAAAAAATGGCGGTCAAATTTTTTAATCAAATGAATGGTTCAGATTGATCAGATTTTAATTTTTCCTTAAGATTTCATAATTTATCCTTAATGAATATGATTATCCGTTAACTTTTCTATTAAATATTATCTTTTCCGTTAATTTCTGTTAGTTCACCGTTAACTTACTCATTGATTTTAATAAGAAAGGTCTTAAGTTTGAACCTCATCTCAATCAAAGTTGGCATAATTAGTACCCTATTTTACTCTTATTAAATTAAATAATAATATAGTAGCTACATCAAAAAATAATACATATGCATTTCTTTAATTTAGAATTATGTGTCTACAATGTCTTTATTCAAAAAAAATTATTCATTATCAATATATTAAATAAAAGAAATAATTTCATTAGTTATATTGTATTTATTTTTCTCCAATATAAAAATTCTTTGCATTCAAATTCATCAATTGATTATATTCGCTACATTGTCCCTACAATGTCTTTATTAAAAAAAATATTCATTATCAATAATTTAATTAAGAGAAATAATTTTATTAGTTATATTGTCTTTATATTTCTCAAATGTAAAAATTCTTTACATTCAAATTCATCAATTGATTACTACATTGTCTATTATCTTTTTTTTGTGCACTATTTTTAAATTAAATATCAAAGTTATAATACAAAATAATGCAATATATTTATTTACCAAGTATTTTATTAATACTATGAAAAAATTAAAAAAAATATAATTAATAAAGCCAATCATATTAACTACTTAGAATTTGTTGACAAAGAGAGTATTCAAATCACACAACAAATTGAAGTGAGAATTACATCGCAACGTCCTTGTTTGACAATAGCTGTTAGCGGATTATATTAGCGAATTTGACCAGCGAATTATATCAACAGTTGGTAAAAAGATATTTAAAAAAATTAGTTGTTTAGATTAACATGTAAAATGGTCTAAGGGTATACATATATTTAATAATAATAATAATAATAATAATAATAATAATAATAATAATAATAATAATAATAATAATAATAATAATAATAATAATAATGACTATAATCTACTATCTACTATCTATCTACTATCTACTATACTAATAAGAGTCCAAGAGAGTTAGTCCTATAATGAGTAGAAAAAATGGCGGTCAAATTTTTTAATCAAATGAATGGTTCAGATTGATCACATTTTAATTTTTTCTTAATATTTCCTAATTTATCCTTAATGAATATGATTATCCGTTAACTTTTCTATTAAATATTATCTTTTCCGTTAATTTCTTTTAGTTCATCGTTAACTTACTCATTGATTTTAATAAGAAAGGTCTTAGGTTTGAACCTCATTTCAATCAAAGTTGGCATAATTAGTACTCTATTTTACTCTTATTAAATTAAATAATAATGTAGTAGCTACAACAAAAAATAATACATATGCATTTCTTTAATTTAGAATTATGTGTCTACAATGTCTTTATTCAAAAAAAAAAATTATTCATTATCATTAAATTAAATAAAAGAAATAATTTCATTAGTTATATTGTATTTATTTTTCTCCAATATAAAAATTCTTTCCATTCAAATTCATCAATTGATTATATTCGCTACATTGTCCCTACAATGTCTTTATTAAAAAAAATATTCATTATCAATAATTTAATTAAGAGAAATAATTTTATTAGTTATATTTTCTTTATATTTCTCCAATGTAAAAATTCTTTACATTCAAATTCATCAATTGATTACTACATTGTCTATTATCTTTTTTTTTTTGTGCACTATTTTTAAATTAAATATCAAAGTTATAATACAAAATAATGCTATATATTTATTTACCAAGTATTTTATTAATACTATGAAAAAATTTAAAAAATATAATTAATAAAGTCAATCATATTAACTACTTAGAATTTGTTGACAAAGAGAGTATTCAAATCACACAACAATTGAAGTGAGAACTAACTCGCAACGTCCTTGTTTGACAATCAGCAGTTAGCGGTTAGCGTTAGCGGATTATATTAGCGAGTTTGACCAGCGAATTATATCAACGGTTGGTAAAAAAGATATTTGAAAAAATTAGCTGTTTAGATTAACATGTAAAATGGTCTAAGGGTATACATATTATAATAATAATAATAATAATAATAATAATAATAATAATAATAATAATAATAATAATAATAATAATAACAACAATTGTTTTAAAAAAATAAAAAATTAAAAAATATAATTAAGTCAATCATATTAACTACTTGGGGGATTTATGGACAAAATGATTATTCAAATCACACAACAAATTAAAGTGAGAAACTATCTCGTAATGTCCTTGTTTGACAATCAGCAGTTAGCTTTTCAATATTAGTATATATTTAATATTTTATGCCCTACTTTTTATTTGCTCTTCTTATGTCCCGTATTTGGTTTCAACCATACCTATACAATTATTTTATTGACAATTATAATCAATCTTGACTATATTATCTTGCATTTGTAAATTTAAAATTGCCTATTTAAATATGCAAATTTAACATTCAATTATCTATGCATGAACAATTCCAATATAATCTTGCCTTCATATACTTTAAAGTACTTATTTAAAAAAATATATATTGAGCATTATTCCAATCGCGCAATGCGCGTAAAAAACTAGTATATATATATATATATATATATATATATATATATATATATATATATATATATATATTAGAAACTGTCAGTGGAAATTATTATCATTATTATTATTCCATTCTGGATATAAAAAAATTATTACAATTATTATTATTATTGTTATTGTTATTATAATTAACAATATTATTATGGTCTTGTGAAAATTAAATGTTGATTATCACCATTTAATTTTCACAAGACCATATAGCTTTATTATATATAGGATAAGGAATTGATCGTGATGCTAACACCACAATGTAGCTCAAAATCAATGGGCTAGCTCGATAAACTTGAAAATTTTTAGGGTTAGGTCCAAGAAATTTTAACCTGATAAACTTGAAACCACTAAATCCAGTGGCCCAAACGGGCTAGTCCGATAGTTCGAGGCACTTAAAGACTATTCTTTATTTCACAAGTGATGTGCAATAAAATATATAAGAAATTTATATGCAAACTATCTTTAGTAATTTTTATTAATTTTTTAAATAAAATTTTAATAAATTTATTACAAAAATAAAATATTTTTTATGAAAAAATAAAAATGAAAAAAAAATATTATAACTATTATATTATAGTGTAAATATATTAATTATTTTTAGTAAAATTAACTTAATACTTTGGGATTGCTATAATGAAATTAGTGAGTGTGAAAAATGAAAACTGAAAAATAGAGTTATATTGTCAAATGAAGCTAAAGTGTAATCATAATGATACCTACTTTATATACTACAATACTATATTTACCATGGTCCACAACAAAACTTGCCGGTTGAGATAGGGATGGCAATGGGTCGGGGAGGGCTACATCCATCACCCGACCCATCTTATATTTTCTCCACGAACCCACCCCGAGGTGGACTTTTTCAAAATCACCCCACCCCACTGGGTGCGGGTGCCCACTACGGTCTACGGGGGTACCTACCATTTATCATCTTATTATTTTTTTAAAAATAATATTTAAATTACTTACCCATAATAAAATAATAAATTTTATTAGTGATACTAAAACATAAAATAATAGAAATATTTAAATATAATAACTAATTTTTAAAAATCAACTTAGTAGTTTAAATATAAAAATTAGTAAAAAAATACACGGAATTATATAAATTTTTAGATAAATTTACTTTTTTAAGGTCCACACCCAACTCATCACTCACTATCACTTTAAAAAAAAACTCGATCCATACTAGATAAATTCGAATTGATACATGCGGGACGGATTGAAATTATCATCCTCTGTAGAGATGGAGATGATTAATGAGAGGACAGGAGTAATGTATGTGGGGAAGGGAGGGACGTCGTTACATAGTAACTGATCGAGGGAGGTACATGCATATTACAGCTGTTGTCTACCTAGCTAGCTACCCCCATTGCAATATATTTATATATGGATTGTATCATCTCCATTAATTACTTGACTTCACACTGTCGTTAATTATCAATAGAAAACACTTTTATGTTTTAGAAAATAAAAATTAAGAGAGGGGTTTGGGTCGGAGCTGAGCGAGAGGTGTCGTCGTCTACACTACTCAATCTGATCTATAAATAGCTGCCCTCCCACGCCACACTGCTGCACCCACCCAACCTAGCATATAATAATATTCAGGCAATATAATACACATACATTACACAATATTCTTGGATCATCGGAAAAGAAAGATAGATGATGATGATGAGAAGGAGGAGCTTACTTGCCTGCAGCTTTTTCCTAGTGCTGCTGCCTCTTCTTCTCATCACCTCCTCCGCCTTTGATTCCGCCGTGGCACCCTCAGGTACCGGTGACCTGACACTGATATTATTTGTTAGAACCAATTCAAGCGCTACTATTATTATGCCAAAAGTTATAGTGCCGCTAGTAATTAAAGAAGTTATATTATAACTTTATTTTTTTATTTTTGAAAGGTAAGACGTTAGATTTAGCCTTTCTGGTCTATGCTCAACAATCTCTTAGCCACCCAGTTCAGCCCAACAAGCTAAGCTAGCATCCTGTTTTGTTTAGTTGTAGATGGAAGAATAGATCTGTACTGTAATGCATATAATATATATATATATATATGTATGGATGTTTTAATTGGTATTGTAGGTTATTGTTCTGGGAAGTGCAGCGGTCGATGCGCGAAGGCTGGGGTGAAGGATAGGTGCATAAAGTACTGCGAACTGTGCTGTGCCAAATGCAAGTGTGTGCCTTCTGGGACTTACGGCAACAAGCACCAGTGCCCTTGCTACAGAGACTTGAAGAACTCCAAGGGCAAACCAAAATGCCCCTAAGCTAGCTAATATATCATTTCATATGTATTCCAACTATTTCTTTCTTTCTCATTTCTCATTTCTCATGCCAAATAATTAAGCTAATAAGCTTTGGATTTATTCTCTTTTACTACTTCAATTCGATCTGCTAGGATTTTGATCTTAGCTTAATTATATTGCATTGTACTGATCGAGTTAGTAGTTATATATGTTGTTGTTGTTTGATCTTATGGTTCTTGTACTCATCGCTTCCTGCCAGGCTACTGCATCTCATCTGATTACTAAGGTTGTTTAATTTGATTGTTTGATGGTACAAAATATGCCAAACACTGCACGCAATCAAAAAGTATTGATAACTAAATTGAATATTTTTTATTTTACTTCGAATCGCAGAAAAATAAAAAGATTTCTTTTTTTGAAAACCAGAAAAAGAAAAAGATTTTTAGGTTATTCCAATAGAGTTCTATTGTATGTGTTATCCATCTCTATCACCCACTTTTAAGTGGAGTAAAAATTAAGAGGTAAATAGTCATTTCAGTATTTCTCAATTTTAAAATTAGGTTATATATTCAATATATAATGTTTAATTTGAAACTAGCTAGGGATAGAACAAGATAATTTTATTAGGAGAGGGGGAAGTTCATAGTTAGTTTTGGCCAAGTGCGGTATTATAGGCAAATTATGTTGTGGACACGTGTTCAAAACGGCGTCGATTTTGAGAACATGAATTTTGTGCGTTTTGGTGCACGGTATAATTTGTCATTATGAACATGAATTTTATGCATTATAAACATAAATTATGTGTATTGGACCAATATTCATAGTGCACCGTGGACCCTGGTCCACGATATAACCATTGTTAGTTGAGTGACTTTTTTGACCCTTATTTTAAAAAAAAAAAGAAAAAAAAAACTCTGTAAATCATGGCCCCCAAAGCCATAATTTCGCATACCAAACACGGCATTAATGAATTGGACTGTAGCCGACAACGTACTAGCGTAGTGAAAAGCCATGTGCTTTGAAAGTAACACAATATCCAGGACTTATTTGTATTTATTAATTGAAAATTTTTTACTTTTTCAAAAATAAATAAATAAATAATATGTTGAAGTTGAACAATTAAGAAATAACGAAGAATTTTTATGTGTCATCATATGCTTATTAATAAAAAGTTGTTAATAAAGTTATTTATGTTTATCTCAATCTGTGTTGATGGTATGATATTGCAATACATAAAAAGTTTGATCATATTAGTTCATGCTTAAAAATGAAGTTTGAAATGAAAAATTTGGAGAAATTATATATCTTGACATGCAGATCAAGTATTTCCTTGAAGAAATTGTATACACCAATTAGCCAATCTTGAAAATACATTTGACTTGTTTTATATGGATAGATATCATATATGTACTTAGACTCAAAGAAGAAAACAAGGATATTTTGGAATAATAGTCCATTAATTACTTAATTGTCATTGGAGCACCACTTTACGACCAGAAATTCTATAATTGCAACATGTCTTATATTTGCAATGAAATTGATGGCAACATTTAGTGCTCCACCTATAATGAAATATTGGAATAATGTTTTACATATTTTCTGATATCTTCGAGATACAAAGATTTTGACATTTATGTGATAAATCAATATATGATTTTGATGGATGGGCTACTTGAGTACGTATTAGTTATTTTATTTGGTCCCCATGATGCCAAGTCTCAAGCTTGTTATGTTATGTTATGTTTTTACCCCACTATCCTATATCTAAAAACATAATAAGTCTCAATCAAAGTTATATCCATAATTTATGTCCATGTTTTTAGTACTAACCATTTTGTACATTGTGCTTTTAGAGTTGTACTATACAATTTTTGGACAAAAATACCCTTATAGTTATAACTTCCTTTATTTTTTTCATTACTTTTACCATGCACATGCATCCACCATATCTTTTCTTATATTCTTTAATTATAATAATATTTTTAGATATTGTATATTGAATTAAGGGAAAATGGCACTTTTTCACCCTGTGTTGTTTACTAATAGTATTTTTTCCCCCTGTGTTGTTTATGTAACCACTTTATCCCCCTCAATTGTTTTTAAAGTGGCTATTTTCCCCCCTCTCCGTTAAGTAAGTGTTAGGGATGTTAAATATGAGGGTAAAAATGACATTTCAATTATTATTATTATTATTATTATTATTATTATTATTATTATTATTATTATTATTAATGAATTTGGTTTGCAATATAACTGTGCATTTTAGACATGGAGTACTGCAATATATTAGGGCGTTGGGTGGAACTTATTATTGTTATTATTATTATTATTATTATTATTAGCAATGAATTTGGTTTGCAAACTGCACTATATTAGAGCGTTGGGTGGGGTCGTTCATTAATAATAATAATAATAATAATAATAATAATAATAATAATAATAATAATAATAATAATAATAATAAGTGAAATGTCATTTTTACCCTCATATTTAACATCCCCCTAACACTTACTTAACGGAGAGGGGGAAAAATAGCCACTTCAAAAACAATTGAGAGGGATAAAGTGGTTACATAAACAACACAGGGGGAGGATGTGCTATTAGTAAACAACACAGGGGTAAAAAGTGCCATTTTCCCTTGAATTAATATAATAAACAAATTTTATTTCATTTAGATTTTAATTAGTAAAAATTTGTTAGTTATTTTTAAAAATATAAATATGGATATATGTTTTTGCGCATCACACATAGTATATACTAGTAAGGACAATAAAGATTGTATTGCACAAATGATAGATGAGTATATGTTTAGGAATATTTGACAAAATATATAGCATCAAGATTCAATGTAATCCACGTGAACTCCAGAAGAGTCACAAGATTATTATACATAAGGTTCGCTCTAGTGACAATCTAGCATATTTGCCCACAAAATCATTTTCTACACTTATTTTTTGAAAAAAACAATGTTTTTATATAAGAGCGTGTAGGCTTAAGATTATCATATTTATAGGAAGCGACATTTACTTGAATCAATCTTGAAGATTGGACTTGAATCAATCTTGATGATTGTTCCTTTTATTGAGTTTTGATATAATTTTTTTTTAATTAAATGTTTTTAACATGCCTGCTAGTAGAAGTGCAACGTAGCATGAACACACATACACCATGTACTCTTTTGAGTAATGTCCAAGAGAGAGTGTTGTAAATAAATAATATATGTAGAGATTACTGGAAACATTATATTATGGTAATGCATCTTCATCTTTTATAGACTTCTTGTTGAACTAAAACTCTATCTATACATATCATGTATATATTGGATTGAAGAATGAATAAATATATATGTGGAATATGATATAGTAAATTAGTAATGTCCAAGGAGTCGGGGAGTGTTGTAATATGTTGACATTACTAGAAATATTATATTATGATAATACATTTTTATCCTTTATAGATTTGTATTTAAGCTAAAACTTTATATATATCATGTATATATTAGATTGAAGAATGAATGAATATTAAAATATTGATAATTTCCACTGTATTTCTGATTCACACGATGATACACTTTAATTCACAACAAGCTAAACATTTTTTTAATAACCGTTCCCAACTCTAAATATTTCATATTGAAATACTCTTCTACAAATTATACTTTTCATTCGAGAAATAATAATAACTTTCAAAAAGATATCATTCAATTTGATTACATTCATCATGTGTTGATTGTTCAACCTTCTCAACCAGGTAGGACACATGAATTGCATATTAGGTGGACAACCTTTGTACATATTCAATGTCAACTTGGTCTTTTAGTCCACCATAATTAAGAATCCATTTAATGCACCTACACAATTTTACAAGGAAAAAGTGAACAAAAAGTTAATTAGCCTGATATTTTAGCGCTTTCTTTTCAATATTCATTTTTGTTTGGTATACTCAAAATTTTCATCATTGGACAAAGTGATTCGTTGAATTGTAGACACCTCTTTCGGGTGGGACAGCTGGCCTGGAGATTCTTTTCAATATTCATTGAATTATAGCAAACGATTTTAATTATTATTTTTTTTCAAAATTGAGGAGATCTCCTCAATTTTCTTCTTCTCCCTTTATTGTACGACATGATCTGGATGGTCTACGTACACCTAATTGCAGACCATTAATTAAGAAGAAGCAATTGTAAGATGAATAATAATACTACCAACAGTCCAACATATACATTAAACTAAACATGCGTAGGCATTGCTCTCTCAAAACACAACTAATAGACAGACAAGTTGCAGACAACATATATAATGTAGTACTCCCTAGCTCCCTCAATAAACACATATAAACCCTAAACCATAACAATAAACTAGAATAAACAAGAAACAAACAACGATATGATAGATGTTAGCAAGTTTAAAAAAAAAAAAAAAAATAGATGTAGAAAAAATGAATTGAGATAGTGGCGGTCCTGCGAGATCCATGCATGTCAAGGCGGCATATATATGGCTACTGACAAATCAGCACGGAGACAAATTAAATAAACTAGAATAAACAAGAAAGAAATAGCAAATGAAGTGAGATATATAGTCGCTGTGCGGTACTCGTGCATTTTAAGGGCGGTAACTCATTCAAAAACAAAAAGATAACCCTTAGAAAAAGTAGCAAACATTGTTCTCTTGTCTTTTGGTTCCTCCGATCCATGCACAAAAGAGGCATCTATCACTGATTGAGATGACTTAACCTGTTCTGAATCCTTCGAACCTTTGTATCATGGGATCTTATCCATGGGAGGCACCACTGATCGAGATGACTCACCTGTGACTCTGAGTCCTCCAAACCTTGGTATGATGGGCTCAGCAAACACGCCATACAGTGGCATCATGACCATTTGAGTTTTGAGCAACTATCGTTCAGTGTTTCTCTTGATGGCCATTTTCATGGTGAACAAACTCTATAAATATTCAATATGATGCCAATTAGTTTTTTTTTATTTTTTTTTAATTTTATTTTTAAATCCAATGTAGTGAAGGCAAGTAGGTCGTGCCGTGCCAATCTTACCCAAGTCTATATGGCCCGGCACTAATGTGCATGTGTTGTGCCAACTCAACTCACATTTTTAAATTAGTACAACCCAGATCATTTTAATCTATTAAAATATTTAAATTAATAATTTTTAAACTATTATAAATCTATATACTATAATTTATAATTTTTAAAAGTTTAATTAGAATTATAATTTTTAAATTTATTACATATTTGTATAATTGTTAAATTGTATATATTATTTATACATTTATAAAGTTA